GCGTTTATTTTATTACCGGCACGTGCATTTTCATGGACAGTATTTTTTTCCATTCAGCTGATAGCTGAACGCAACGGTATAGCATAATGCGGTATAGCGAGTGACAACCAAATGTCTATGGTATAAAGCATAAACTTCTACTAAGCTGGTCTTACGACAATTACTTGTACAACCCGGGGCTGCTTTTCTGTAATCTTCGAGTAAGGTATAAACGATGGTGAAACATACAGTATCTTCAGCATCGCGCTTCGCTTTCCGCGTAACATAGTTATTTTGATTGATGAGCTGAGCTAGGTTATCGGTCTCAACGAACAGCGGGTAATTAATCGAAGGAATACTGCCTGTTGTTGTTCAACTTTTGAATCGCCCAGCGCGATGACTGATTTCTGCAGCAGTCTGCAAGTTTCTGCGCATCAACCAATCTTATAAGATATACAGCATATCAAAGATTAGAATTAAATAATGTTATAATTAAAAATAAAGTTGATCTGAAAATTGTACTGCAGCACCCGAAAAAGCCGGCTGCCAGATTTTTTGGAAGGTAACCGTGATGAACTGCAATGAAAAGCGCGTGCAGCTGGCGATAAATTAACTGTGAGTAATATACTCCAAGTCACCAATGTTATATGAACCTGCAAAAATTTTTTTATTGCATACCGCCTGCTTCTTAACCCTTAATGGCCTGACATATTTTTATCCGTGCCTAACTGCATCAATCTGATACAAGTGATAGCCATTGGTCTGCTTAGCGTTGCTAGCTTATGAGAGAGAGAATAAATCTGAAAGAGGCACAGGCAGGCTGCTGGACCTTTATACATTCAGCACACAGTGCTCGCATGGAGACCTACTTATGCAGCCAGTACAGGGACAGAACTTAAATGCTCTCTCTTGCGCTGACCATTCTGTAGGACAAAAGAAATTTCATTTTCGGATGCCGGCTTGTATTATCATCCGGCATAAGGACACCATCGCGGATCAGAATTTTTTTCACGATTGTTAGCAAACGTACCATTTTCGAAACGTGCCTGCTGCAGCTAGGACTGTCGATTGTTAGTGCAGCACCCATGATTTATCTAATCTGCAAGTGCTGTGCCATTAATTTGTGCTAGAAGTTTAACTTACTTCCGGCAAATCATGTATCATCTTGATACATCAGTTTTTCTCAAAAACCATTATCTTCTAAAATTTGCAAAAATCGTTAGGAGTATGCTGTAGGTGTCGGCATAGCATACCACGGAAGAAAAATGCAAATTTTGAGCCTGTACGGTATGTACAGTGCGTTTTTAAATGTGATGTATCAGTTTTACGATGTCAGGCCATTAAGGGTTAATTAAGCTGGCGCTAACTCAACGTGAATACGTACCAGCCCGACTGTGCTGTCTGTCTGTACCTTCTGTTAGTTATCGGAAATCCTCAGGCAGCTTGTCGCTTCGGGTGGTTCTCTTTATTTTGATGCTAGTGAACAGCGAAAGAATTTTCATTGCTTTAAGGCAATAATTGGCTTTAACTGACAATATATGCCGAAACCGAAAGCAAAAGATAACATATACATTGAACATTACATTCATCGTTTTCTGCTGTACTGTACATTTATTAGTGTTTGTTCTCGAATCATCCGTTCGAGGCGGCAATTAATGCATAGCGGAAGCACCGCGGTTTCTTAGTAAATCGGCTTTTAATTTTACCAATTTGTCCATCTTACGATTGCCTAAATGATCATCTAAAAATCATTTTTGATTCACAACCGCTTGTATTTTCGAATTCCCATTGGATTTGGGACGGATTAAAAGCCTGAGACGAGAAACGTCCAAAATGCTGATTTTCGGACTAAAAACATGTGTTAAGTTTCCTTGTAGTTGTGTAGCGGATGCAGCGTGTTCCGGGTGTGGCACACGCTGCATTCGCGACGCAATCACAAGTGTGCCTAGGATAATCCCAGGCTGTTGCTGTAGTCCAACCAGGTTAATCTCCCCCAGAGATCCTGCTGGCTGGCATAATTCCAACGTGATACAGTAGAAAAGAAATGGAACTAATGTTGTTACGGAAAGCTCCTAAAGCACCTAAAGTCTAACGAATCATCCAAGTTTATCCCGTAATTTCTACCGCATTAAAACCGCGACACGGCCATAGACCGTATCTGTACAGAGGGTCATTCAGCCAAGTGTGTTCACTTTGTGTTCACTTTGGCTTATTTTGGGGATGCAACGGGAATTTTCTGACGGCGTTTCCCGAAACTTTCACGCCGTAGTTTCGCCAATTTGTTCACAACGGTCGCCATCTGCGCGTTGCAAAGTGAATCGAATATCGAGGCCATGCCGTGTAGTACGAACTTATCATTACGGACCTGCCGTGGAAAATTGCCGTCCGCAAGAACCACAAAAACCGGTACCGTTTCATGAAGGCATCCAGAGGTACATACAGAGTACATTCGCTTATGCAACTGCTAGAAAAAAATTTATTTTTATTCTACATGACTATTAACGAACAGTCTCACTTCAGTGTTTCTGCATTAAAATGATTTCTTATTTTGGATTAACAATTGAACTGACCGGAAATCGACAGCTCTGATTTTTTGTGTACTACATGGCGGAAATACTTTTTACCAGTTACAAGTTTTCGCGAGCCGTTTAGAAAATCATTTTTCGGGTTAACTGTGGGAAAACTTGTGGAACGCACTTTCTTATAAAATGATGCAGTACTAACGTTTACCTTGCGGAAAACATCGAACGACATAAATTACAAATTACAGGCTATCGTTGTAGTTTCTGCCCTGTAGTTCTTACCTACAAATAATAAATCACGCAGTTTTATTTTGAATAACGTAACAGATGTTTCACTTTTGCTGACTTAATGTATGTAAATAACGCGCGACATAGCTATGATTTCTAGAGACTCTTTCAGTTCTCGAAAATTATCAGACAGCTTGTCGTGTTAGGCGGACATTTTTCTTTTGCTAAAAAACCACAGAATTTTCACATCCCGGTTGCTAACTTTAACGGGCAACGTTACGCCTTGAACGAAAGCCGTACGTTGACCGTTAAAAATTTAAACGATCTAAAAACTTGTAAAGATCGTTTAGATTAATCTTTTTTAGTGCACCTTTTTGAATTTTTAATGTCGAATCTTGATCGGTTTGCGCATCGTATCTTTCTGGAATAACGATGTTTTCGATATTGCTGGCTGACACCGCTACCTTGAACTCAACCATCAGAATCTTATTATGCGGACACCGTAACACGATACTGAGCTGTGTTGTCACGATACTGAAAACTGCGAGAAAAGCAGCCGCAGGCCATATGGTTCACCAATCAGCGACGCTTCTAACACCAGCAGTTTATAATTCTGCAGATAGGCCGAACCGTTTCACCGAGCAAACCGTCGATTTCCCCCAGTTCAAGTTGCATTATGCAACCGAATATTCTGCTTCTTTTGATGCCTCGTACGATTTTCCTAAGTTCTAATTTCATCATTTCCTTTTACTGCTCTGGTCAGTTGTCCAACTAGCAAGGAATTAAATAGAACTGATGAAATTAACTAACTTAGTGGATCAGGTGGGACCGCAATAAATCTCGGCTTCCCAGGCACACCTGTGGTTGTGTATCGGATGCAGCGTGTCCCGGTCCCGGGACTCGCTGCGTTCGGCATGCATCTCCAAGTGAATCTCTCTTGTGCACCTCTTGTGCCGACTAATTCACAGCGAGCGCAGCGAGATGCTACTATTAAGCCTTCTTCAAGAGCATAAAATTTGTCTGACGCCACGAAGAGCGTACGCCACGCTTTTCCAATTCCACAATCCAATACCATTTTCCAGTGGTATGTCGCTCGCTCGGAGCACTGATGTGATTTACAACCTGATTTTAGATTTCACATGGTTTTGGCTCCGTACACTAAAACTACGGCGTCACACAAACAGCACGTTAGCAGCCTGAGAATCGTTTAAAAGGATTGCACGCATCCACATTTGCAGTGATGTACAGCTGAAAATTAAATCGAATCGAGAGAGCAACTTGCTCACGGTAGGCGGATAGCATACAGGCATCACATCACATCACGGATAGAGGATATGTACAAAAAAGATTACACGCACAGACATCACAGGCAAAATATTTTTACATTTCGCCTCACTTTTTGTTTAGCACTTCCCAATATAACTTTTTATTGTGCGTCCACACAGGATAATAACTCAAATGTGATGCGTGATTGATGTGCGAGGTGCATCTTCCATAGACTTGATTGTTAAAAAGTGCTTACGGGATAACCGGCGCTGAACTACTGTAGATACCTTTCTTAAATTTCTTAAATTTATTTAAAATATAGGTTTATTTATTTAAAATATAGGTCTGCATTTTTTCTAGGTAATGTTTTCTGTGAATTAAAATGCATTGATAAAGACGATTTTTTTGCTCTATCCGATATTTACTTGGCAGGCGACAGGATGGAGTCTACCGAAGACTGAAACAAAAAGCCAACAAAACACTGGTCAAAAAAATTTTTGTCGTTACTGAAATGTGATAAAACGGGATGTTACAACGTTCTTCGTTTAGCAACAAAAAGTCATAGCTGTTGCTCAGCGCTTCAACATCGACATCTTTGCCGAAAATCTAATCCGACGCATTCAATCTTCCCCGGTTACCAGTGAGCTCACAACTGTTGCGATCTTTTATTTTGATTATACAGTACCAGCAATAAATTGTGGACGTTCATGCCGCCTCGTCGAATTGTGTAGAACCATGACAAGCGTATTTTGCAAGAGAATCAAATGGCAAACAGCCGAGCATTACCACCCACTGACTATGACATTAGAAGATTCTTTGAAAAATTTTTAACGGGAGGAAGTATACCATGACGTGTTCCGGGAACAAAGATACTATATACGTCAATCATGAATACTATCCATCAATCAAATCAAACCATCCGGCTTGTAATTTCGCCGATTCCACATAATCTGGAGCCGGAGATAGCCCGTATTACGCATCGTGAGGCCGGCCAAATATTGGAAATTACCGACGAAGGCCGACGATCGTCTGATGTGCCGCTGCGCGTAGATCATGCTGCGCGACAAGGAACATGAGCGGATCCAGTAGCGACTGCAGCATAATTAAGATGGCCGTAGCCACCGCGGCACTGGCTATCCGCAGTTGTGTAATGTAGAAGATGTTCGCTGGCGTCCAGATCACCACCATGTTAATGGTCAGCAACGTCAAGATAAACAGCGACTGTGAGCGACGCATCTTGGTGCGCTGATATTCCGAACTCGACGTTTCCGGCGTTCCGTGCGAAGTTACGCGCTTCGAGCGCAGAATCCAGCGTTTTCGGCGGTATACATACAGGAACACGGGATAACTCAGCACGATGAGGATTTCCGGGGTTAAATACAGAGCGGCGTTAACGGCCGTCATCCACTGCACCATTGAAGGCGCTGCGAGGAAAACTCCGCATGTTTGATCGTTCAACGCCGTACGATACGAAGCGTCCATTATTCGTCCCGGTACAATAAACACCGCAATCAGCAGCAGCAACGCAGCGGTTATCCACAGTGTGAGACGTTTGGAAATCTTTTCTCTATACGATACCGGGTGTACCACCGCCCAGATACGGTTGGCGTAGATGACCACGTGATAGGTTAGGAGAAACGCCGCTAATATGGTTAGAATCAGGAGCTTGACGACGCAAAAAGGGCGGACATAGGGAACGGGGAGAATGTCCTTAATTAGCATGAAAGTCTGACTGCGGACGATACCATTCAGGACGTGGGCGCTGGCTAATATAATAACGTAGAAGCCGAACGGTGTGATTATGGGAACGCGGTAGCGGTATAAGTACAGTACGAAGGCGTTGAGAATGACGCCACTGACGCAGATGACCGTGGAGCAGGTGTCTATCCATGTCCAGTTAGCTGATACTAAATAGGCGGCGCTGGTGTGGGTTTTGTTTAAAACTAGAGAATCCGAGCGCATCGATGTATTATTCATGGTTGTTTTCTGAAAGAATGAGCGGCGATTAGTGCAGGTATGTTAAGAAAATGCAGAAAAAGCTGCAGTCCGCTGGATACTCTGAAATATATTGCCAAATGCAAAAAGTTATACAATCTCCGGCAATATGCTCTTTCCGATGGACCGCTAAATTACCGATCCAGCTTTACTGAAATGATTTTAGTGAAATCTAACAAATACACTCTGGAAACTCTAATAAATCGTCCTTTTTTACTCACCACACAGAAAGCCGGCTTGCATCACCCGAACTTTTTTCCTGCAGACGCTTCATATGAGCTGTAATGAGCACAGAACAACTTGACTGTATGTATCGTAATGATCAAAGTTTGGCCGAAAGGGAACACTGGATAAAGATGTGCGAGTGGGTTCCGGGTACAAAGAAATGGGTATGGACTATTTCGGCGAGGTTCTGTATAATTGCCGGGGATGCTCTTATGCGCTTCAGTAAAGAACAAAGCTGTCGTGAGTACGGTCAAAGAGTAACAAATTATTCGCGCAAGATGGGCTTCATATGAGCTATGCAAGTGCACGGCACCGGAAACAGGTGCTCTAACGCCCATTAATCATATGGCATGAGGAATTAACGCTCATTAAACTTTCCTTGAGGAACTAACGCTCATTAATCTTTCAAGCCGACCGATCCGCACAAAAGATGTCAAATTACTGTTAAACACACAGGGGCACACCTGTGATACGGTATTCCCTACTTACGTCCAAAAGGGTACTGCCGTTTCTCAAGTATCATCACATATAATTATGCGGCTTCCATACCGGTAGTTGCGCGAGCGCTGCTTTCTCTTCCGCTACTTCAAATCGATATCTCTTCTTCCGCACAACAGATCGATTGTCTGTGGTTTTAACAAGAAGAAGCGGTCGCTATTTCCCTTTTCCGGTTACCACGAACCGTTTCTTTTTTCTATAAATTGCTGTACCACAAAGAACATCCTCGTCTCCGGCGCGGCCAGGTACGTTTCGAAAAAAACTTACTACGGATTGTCGTTAGACCCGCCCAACGGTGCTACGGCCAGGTATGACTGGCCGATTAACAAGGCAACGTGGAAGATGATCGCCCGCCACGAAATTCCAGACCCCAAAAGTTGTCCGGAACAAGAGCTCGTCCAGTGTGTGACCCGGGGCATTCCATGCCTAAGATACTGCCAAAAATGCTTCATTAATCAAGAATGTCAGTTCAATAGTGGAGCCAGTATATCTCCAGTCCAAAGTCCAAACTAAATACCGACCACCGCATACAAATCCGTAAACATGTATAAGTTAATTAATGAAGCAGCATTAAAACTAATCTCAGCATCAAAACGACTCCAACGATTTTGGATGTTTTTTCAATGTTTAAAATTCATGCTTTTTTTAGTGTAAAACTGCGCACGCAAATTGTTACGTATACTGGCTGAAGCCTAATAAAGTGCTTATATCACGACAGAAAGTTATTTAATTTCTCTACTCCCTCCAATGTTTGCATAGCGGGTGCGGCGTTTCCCCGCTGTATCTCCACCGATATTCTCTGCCGCAGAAATTCACGTGAGCGAAGACCATAAGTCTGGTTGCACAATTGTTTTCCTGTTTCCGTGACAGTGGCAGCAGCCGAAGGTCCCCACGGGCCTACAGTGAATACTTTCCTGAATCACGAGCGACAGTTAGACGTTCCAGGAAATATTTTCACTATTTAAGAAAGAGAGCTAGAGGCTCGAAGGCGATCAGTTACCTGCCGGAACCGGACGGTATATACCGGATGTATGAGCGTCGTAGGAAGTTAGACCGCAGAGTTTGCTCACCGTAGAAATGCACACTGTATATACCCACGCTGCGCGGGCAAAATCCATGATATTAAATTTTTACAATGAAATTAGAATCGGAGTTCCTTGAGCAACATTCATGCTTCAACATTACATTTAACTAATTAATAATATCTAAAATCAAAGATCAGCTAGAATTTGTATTGCAGAAAGCTGAAAGGTAATGCATACAAATAAAGATCTCCTATACCATGTTGGTTCGTAGTGGTTTTCGGGGTGTCCCTGCAAGAAGGTTTTCGTTCAGCATTGGGATTGGCGGTGAATATGTTTACAGGATGGGCGCAGAAAGTGGTGATGATTTTTAGAGATAAGGATATCATCAGAGCTCTTAAAATCATCAGCACTTTAAACGTGGCTGATAAAGTGGGATTAAAATTACGTGGAAATTTGCTTTCTGAATTCAGAAAATGTAAAATGGAATTTAGGTCGTGAATTTCGCCCATGCAGCGTGGGTATATACAGTGTGCATTTTTCCGGTAAACACCATCTGTAGTCTAACTTGCTACCGCCGTTACAGTATTTCATATAAATACCAGCCTCCAAGTGGAAGTCCCGGGACATGTCCTGTTTCATGTCCGTCGACGTTCCAGATCCGCTTACCACTATGTCGCTTCTGTAGACAACACGGGCGAAGATTTCCTCAGGGTCCTGACGACGGACGTCGATAACGCTGACAGAAAGCGGCCAGTGGTCGGGGCAGGAGACCGCGGCAGCAAGCCAGGCACAGAACGGTATAATGGTGGGTGGTTACTGGTTTATTTCTCAATATGTACAAAGGGAGCTTCGCTCAGCAATAACAACCAAAAGAAGAATTTGTCCCAATTAACACGAGAATATACTGTGCACGACACACTCACATCATTACCACGCATAATCTCCAAACTTAAACGCTGAAACAAAAAACAAGTGGAGTGACACTCGCCCGTCCTTAAAAACAACTTCCTACCAACCTCCTTTAACGTTACAATACCGGTATCACACCAAGTGCCAAAAGTCTGACATGCAAAGGGGACAAAATTATAGCGATCAGTAAGCGACTTGTATTTTCCAATTTTCTCCCGGCAAGCCAGTTCGGCGGCGGCGACAGCACATTTTGAGGTCGCGTCGATATACGAATCCGCCATCGTGTCTCTGCCAGTGACGTCCCATACTGAAGGCTGCCCGCGGTACCACTTCCAGCGCGTGGCTTCATCCGGGCGCTTTCAATTTTCGCGAAGAAAACCAACGGGCAGAAAACCAACGGGCTCCGGATAAGATTCAATCCCGGCATTATGAAACGCTCGCAAAGTTATGTCGTTACAACCGTTATCTCGTTCTCTTCTAGCAATGCACTTCTTACAAGCCAGCCCATGATATCAATTCTCCGCTACATCTTTTCCACATTTGGCATACGAATGACACTGGAAAATTTTAGCACCAAGACAAAGACCATCGGAAATGCGAAAAAACTGGTCGTCCAAGAAGCTGCCGAATACTTTAGCAGGAATATCGTATTATGGCATATTACCAAATACGGTATTCTGTAATTATTGTTAACGAAAAAAGTGTGGCCACGTTCCGTTGCGCAAGTTTTGTTTACAAAGCTTTTAAAAGAATAGGTTATGCGTGCCTTTTTCCCTAATTTGTGATATGGTTTTTTGCCGCACAGCGGATGCTCTAGCCGCAGTGCTGGCCTAACGGCCCGACCGATCGGTACGCGAGCACGCCACTAAATTCAATTCGCCATGCAGAAAGTCGAATTTGCCGGCAGTGTCCACCCGTCCCGAGGTGCCATGTCTTACGTCACGTGATTGCTTCGATAATTACTTGAATATAATACGTCGACTTTTAATTAATCGGTACAGAATATGTATAAATCCCACTCAAAAAACGGGTAACGGACACCCTGATGACAACAGATAAAACTGACATAACCTGCTTATTGCCCCTGCCAGTCGCGGTTCTGGGGGGGGGGGGCGTTGGTGGGCTGGTCAGTGTCGACAGTAGAGCCCTGCACGAGCCGAGCCGCTCGGCTCGGCTCGCGAGCACTTCGAGCGAACAGGCGTCGTTTTGCGAATTTGCGAACAAGCTGAGCAACAGAAAAAAAATTGCGAGCGAGCCGAGCGAGCGGGATGGTCGGGTGCGAGCGATCGCGAGCCTACAGGCTTGAAATTGTGCGAACTGGAGAAGTTTCTAGTACAAAACACTTCTGCACAATTACCAGAATTACATTGAACGACCTGAAAACGGCCTTAAAGCACCGTCACCTTCGCGCGAAGTGATTTACTTACTTTCCTAGACTGGTTGAGACTCGGGACTAAGTTTTGATATTTTGTGGCCAACAAAAACATTATTTGACGGGTTTATGAATCACTTGAATGCTTCCTAACTCCTAAGAAAGGTGCATTTTAATTTTCTAGCATTCTGTTATATGTATTTATTTCAGACTAAATTAAAAAAACTACATCCAGTTGAAAATTAGAGAAAGGTATTAGCGAAAAAATGAAACTAATGAAACGGACTACCAGTATGGAGATATAAGTGATTGTCTCTGAACATCCTGTTGCAATTACTGAGTTTTTGTTTTGGTTAAAAGTTTGGTATACGTGTAATTAATTCGTGCAAAAAATCGATACGTAATTTTTGTCCGATCTCACGAGCGAGCCGATTTGCCAAAATAAAATTACGAGCGAGTTGAGCGAGCGGAAGCTAAGAAAAATTGGAAAACGAGCGAGTTGAGCGAGCGGCGGTTTCGGCGCGAGCGAGCTGAGCGAGCAGGAAGTTTCAGAAAGCTGAAACGAGCGAGTCGAGCAGCACTTTTGCTGCTCGTGCAGGGCTCTAGTCGACAGTACCGCATATTAAAACAATGCTCTTAAAGCATCTCAACCGGAATTGCTTACTGAGCGCTTACAGGGAGCAAACGACTATCGCGGTTGGAAAAGGATGCGTGGTCGCGAAGTAACTATGATTACCGGATTACCAGAATCGAAAAACACCAGCTTAAAGTGCAGCCAGATCGCAGGTTTAATTTATTACACGACGTCCCGTAAGAACGAAAGAAGAAACAAAACTAAAATCAGGTTTAGAAAAAGAATGGGCAGTCTCCGATAATGTGTCCAGTCATGCTACGCTCATGGGAAGCTGATTAGAATAGGTAGCCACACATGGAAGCCGCTTAGACAATCCAACAGCAGTGCATATTCCTGGCTTGCTACTCTTTTATACAGTTGTTATGACCTTAAAATTTTACTGTCAATGTAACAGCGTCACACAACTAAGAGTTTAGAAATGCAACAGTAATTTTGCGTTCAATACCGGCAAATATCATATTACGGCGGGCTCAGGCAATCCTCCCCCCCCCCGCCACCGGGGATATTGGAAACCAATGAATATGGCACGAATATGCTAGTCTTCGGGGCCGTTTCCAGCCATGTTCGGCATACATGCGCAAAGGAATTAAAGTTCCGGCCCCACCTTCGGTTTCCTCGCGTGGCGTTTGGGAGTAATCGGGCGCAGATAGGCACATTTGTAAAGAAACAGACAGGAGCTGTACGGGTGTAAAATTTTGAGTCTGAAGTTGTTTTTCCTCCAAATCGTTTTTCGTTGATTAACAAAAAGTAAACCCAATAGAAGTCCATTTTAGGTAATTTAAAATTTTAAAGGTTGTTCTCTTTAAAAGTTCTTGCGACACCCCCGCTTTATTAAAACTTTAAAACGGATACTGTACTGCAGAGTGCAAAATAACGTGATCTTAAACGTCACGTGAAATTAAGCATTAATTCAAACAGAGTAATGTTTTGTACTTGTAAATATGCTTGTTGAATGTCCGACTCGCGTGTTACAGTAATATCGAAATGATTTCTTCGCGACTGGCGTGTGAAAGATGTTATATAACCGTTAACATCACCCCCGGCCCAATACCGAGTTGCCAAAGCCAATACGAATCGTTAAACTTTTTTCGGTGCACAGGGAAAACACACACCCTTTCGGCGCTAATTTGTAATGTATAGTGTTAAACGTAAAGATCTGTGCGTATTACCCGTACAATGTTTATATTATGTGCGTAATGCACATAGCGTTTGCAGATTTCGGATATTATGGATGCGGAATTTTTGGCGTTCAACTACGAGTCCGTTTGAGATTACTCGATAAAAAGCACAAGCAAGGTTTAGCAAACATTATACCTAATCAGTATAAACTAATATGACGGTAATCACTACAACCATAATAACACTAAACACACAGGTATAAATATTACGCATCCACAGGATATTCAATATTACGCATCCACACGTAGGCCTAATATGGAAACTACCGGCGAAGGCCGACAATCGCCTGGTGTACCGCTGCGCGCAGATCATGCTGCGCGACAAGGAACATGAACGGATCCAGTAGCGACTGCAGCATGATTAAGATCGCCGTAGCCACGGCGGCGTTGGCTATCCGTAATTGTGTAATGTAGAAGATGTTCGCCGGCGTCCAGATTACCACCATGTTAATGGTCAGCAGGGTCAAGATATACAGCGACTGCGAACGACGCTTTTTACTGCGCTGATAATCCGAAACCGATGACTCCGTCTTTCCGTGCGAAGTGACGCGATGCGAGCGCAGAATCCAGCGTTTTCTACGGTATACGTACAGGAACACGGGATAACTCAGCACGATGAGGATCTCCGGGGTCAAATACAGAGCGGCGTTGACGGCCGTCATCCACTGCACCATTGAAGGCGCTGCGAGGAAAACTCCGCAAGTTCGATCGTTCAACGCCGTACGATACGAAGCGTCCATTATTCGTCCCGGGACAACGAACACCGCAATCAGCAGCAGCAACGCCGCGGTTATCCACAGTGTGAGACGGTTGGAAATTTTTTCTCTATACGATACCGGGTGTACCACCGCCCAGATGCGGTTGGCATAGATGACCACGTGGTACGTTAAGAGAAACGCGCCTAAAATGGTCAAAATGAGCAGTTTGACGACACAGAATGGGCGAACGTAGGGAGCCGGGAGAATGTCTTTAATCAGCATGAAAGTCTGACTGCGGACGATCCCGTTCAGGACGTGAGCGCTGGCAAGAATAATGACGTAGACGCCGAAAGGCGTAATGACGGGAACGCGGTAGCGGTATAAATACAGCACGAAGGCGTTGACAATGACGCCACTGACGCAGATGACCGTGGAGCAGGTGTCTAACCATGTCCAGTTAGCTGATACTAAATAGGCGGCGCCGGTGTGGGTTTTGTTGAAAACCAGAGCATCCGATCGCAACGATGTATTATTCATGGTCGTTGTCTGTAAAAGATGGCGATTAGTGCAGTTATTTTGCGAAAATGCACAAAAGAGCAGTTATTTTGCGAGAAGTCCATCCTGGGCGGCTGGTAAACCTGCCGCGAAATGTGGTGGACTCGGCAATGGTAACCTCTTCGTATTTCACACAAATTTTCTTCGTGGACTCTTATGGTAAATTTAAAAAAAGCCAGCTAGCATGATGCTAGCTGGCTTTTAATTTGGGAATGAAGCTGGGCAAGTGGTATACCGAACGGTAGAAAACAGTTTGCAAGATTTTTGGTACCATTTACCGAAAAAGTGGCTATTTGTGGCTACTGAACAGGTACAAGCATTTCTGTTTTCTCGTAGACAGTATACAATCCGAAGCGAAGGTCCTCTATGTTCAAGAAAACGGAAGTTATTGTCCGTCGGTCACGCTCATCGGTCACGCCCTGAACTGTCGGTCACGCAACAAGCACTATGTCAACGTGCTGATTTGTAGTCTCATGGTACGTTTAGTAGCGTTACCAAAATATTGAGTTAGGGCACTAAGCATTAAGGTATCATTAGGGTAGCCGGCATCATTAGGTACTAGCGTATCATTAGGGTAGCCGGTTGCCCCTGTCTTAGTACTGTATTTTCACGAGTTTAAGGACAGCCAGAACCAGCTTCGGTACATTCGCGAGGAATTGTTTTGTGTCACTTCCGATCACTTGGTGTTGTTCGGGGTGTTTGAATGGCATTAGCAGACAAATTTGGTACATACACAATTTTTAAAAAAAAGAGTTTCGTTCATCAGGTGCATTACAATTTTAAAAATTAAATGAGTTCGACTTTTGCTAATTTAAAATACAAATGTAATCAAAACTCCATTTTTTAAAAGTGCAAAAGTGTTAGGTTACGGTAAGTGTATGCAGCGCTGAAAGAAGCAATCCGATTCATCTTACCGCTCTCAAGAATAATGCTCACCAATACAGTAATAATGCTCACCAATCTTTTGTGTGTACTGGTAGTCTGGTACAAAACGTTAACGTCACTGAGCAGCGTTAAAAAAAAGCATTGAAATACTGAAATACGGTGCTGCCTGGTAGTGTTTTAGTAACGCACTACAACTCAATAATTTATTCAGCAGTTAGGCACAGAAATCCCAGGTACTAAGATGATCACTAACGTACATATTGGTGCCTTGGCAGCTTACCGGTAGCAAAGATAAGTGCTACGTAGCACCCAATCCATAGTAACGATTGTACTTGAGCTATGCTGTGACAAGCATATTCTTCGCGCAAAATGAGGCAGGTAAATTCACAAGAGCAAAGCAAGTGGACGTATGCCACTCAAAACAGATGACTGTTCCAGCAGCAAACGCTCAATAATGTTTTCTTCGCTCCGCGCAACAGAGCGCTCAGCGACCACGCCGAAATGGTTGATGCCGGTCAAATTACTGTTAAAGACAGAGAGGCACACCTGTGATACGGAATCCCTTAATTACGTTCGAAAGAATAATTGCCGTTTCCCAAGGACCTTCTTATAATTATGCAGCACCATACCGGCGGCTGCGCGTGCGCTGCTCCTTCTTCCGTTCAAACATTCTTCAAATCGATATCTGTTCTTCCGCTGAGTAGATCGATGGGTTGCTTCTTTAACAGGAAGAAGCCTTACCGTATTTAACTCTTTCCCTTGCCGGTTAGCATGACCGGTGTTTGCTTCCGCAACTTTCATACCATGCCGAACAGCAACGTCACCAGCGCAGCTATGATTTGAACAACAACTCCCACGGATTGCCGCTGGACCAACCCAACGGGGCCCGCGCACGGTAGAACTAGCCGATCAATACGGCGACGTTGAAGATGATCCCCCACCCCGAACCCCAGACCCAAAAAGTTGTCCGGAACGGGAGCTGGTCCAGTGTGTGATCCGGCGCTTTCCACGTCGCAAATACCGCCAAGAATATTTTACTAATGGAGAACGTAAACTAAAGTTCGAAGGAATAATTACTTTAATCACCAAAGACAGTCAGATCTTCCTGGAACTGTTTTCCTTATTCAGGGACGAAATCTAGAGATTCAAATGCGATCAGTTGCCTGCCGGAACCGGATGTACCGGAACCTGCCTGCCATTCGCGAACTACAGTGCAGTGCATAGGGATTAAAAGTCAATTGGCCATTAATCAAATTGGGATGTGGACTGTAGTGATGACAGTGTTTTGTTGTGAACTCATTTGTATAAGTCAAAAAAGATATATGAGAGAGCTCAGCTATGTGCGTGCTCAGTTATTCATGAAAGCAATCCATTAAGCAAATTAACTCATCCGGCTTCTAATATGTAGTGAAAATTCAGCAACATCAGGAGCCGGAGACAGTCAGTATTGCGCACCGCCAGGCCGGCCAAATATTGAAATTACCGGCGACCACTGATAACACGTGTCCGCTACGCCGCTGTACGCAGGTGCTGGGCGTTAACTCAGAAGATAAATCCGGTGTCCGTTTTATGACTGGCGTTATAGCAAGTGCATTTTAATGGACAGAATAACGCTATTCCCTTTCTACTGATGGCTGAACGAAACAATTTAGCGTAAACCTTTAAAGGTTTTCAAAACAACCGTACACTAAAGATTATGTAGTTTCAGAAAGGCAAAAAGTATTACAAAAAAAGAGATTAGGAGTGCGCGAAAGCGAAAGTTTTAGTGTATGTATCCCATTTTTGGCACGATGTACCGTGATATTTTCCTTCATGTCCATCCAAGTTCCACCTGGCTGACGTAATTCCGACATGATGCAGCATAGCCGGCAAAATGAAATGATGAAATTAAATTTTGGTACGGAAACCTAATGCGAAGCATCCAAACTTTTCCCGTAATTTCTATAGCATTTAACACAGCGACAAATACAAATTCACGGGTCATGCTAATCTTGTGGTAAAATGGTAATATACCCCACGATTACTATTACGTAACCGATGATGTCATTCGACTCAGTTTTTGTATCTGAGTTGACTGGTCATGACCTTTTGGGAGGAAAAGGTCACCTAAAGGCCATAGAGCTCAGTGCGTTCGTATAGTGTTTTGCCATCACTCGCGTCTAACTCGCTTGTTTTTACAAAGTATTGAAATTTTCTCGACCTTTTTACAAGAACTTGAAAATTATATCCTGCAAAATGCTTTAAGAACTCCAAGAAACCTAAAAGACCTAAGAAACCTAAAAAACCAAAGAAACCAGAGAAACCTAAGAAACCTAAAACCAAAAAATTATATCATGCAATATATTTTAAGAAGCCTAAAAAACCTAAGAAGAATAAGAAACCTAAGAAACCTAAGAAACCTAAGAAGAATAAGAAACCTAATAAGCCTAAGAAACCTAAGAAGCCTAAGAAACCTAAGAAACCTAAGAAACCTAAGAAACCTAAGAAGCCTAAGAAGCCTAAGAAATCCAAGAAACCTAAGAAACCTAAGAAGCCTAAGAAGCCTAAGAAACCTAAAAAATCTAAAAAACCTAAGAAACCTAAGAAACCTAAAAAGCCTAAAAAGCCTAAGAAACCTAAGAAAACCTAAGAAGCCTAAGAAACCACCGGTTAAATAAAGAAGTAAACGTATTGACCCAAGAAAGAAACCCTAAGAACCTAAGAAACCACTGCTAATATAAAACAGTAACCTTATTGACCTAAGAAAGAAACCCTACGAACCTAAGAAACCAACCGTTAATGTAGAACGGCAACTTGAATAACTTGATCACGTGATCTTGGATCCAGGTGACCTACGTATTGTACGACTCGCAATTTTCCCAAACAAAACAGCTATAGGAAATTCATTTTTGCGAAGAAAACACAAGAAACTTAATACAAAATGTTTATATATAGCATTTTCGTCCATGACCTTTAGATGACCTTTCCCTCCCTTAAGGTCCTCGCCATTCGACTCAGAAAAAAATACTGAGCCGAATGGAGCCATCGGTTACGTCATAGCAATCGTGGGGTATATTACCATTATACCAAAAAAATACGTGGTAGGAATACTTGTTCATATACTTCGCTTTGCCCATTATTTTAATCAGTACCACTTTAGGGATCAATATATTAATCACTTTTACTGCATAAATGCAGTGCTGGTCTTGCTGCATAGATTGCTCACTGATAAGCTGCATAGGCTTTATGGACTGAATGGTAATGCATAGACTGCATTTGAGTCAGCCGCGGTTGTTCATGTAGCCGCCCGCCATAGAGGCTGTCAATTTAGTATAGTGATTAATATATTGATCCCTAAAGCGGTACTGATTAAAATAATGGACCAAGCGAAGTACAGATACTTGGCTATTTCGTCCCGATTAATGTGTTTAATGCGCTAATTTGCATATGACCGAATTCTAAAAGCTTTGCATTCCAGCCGTTTTTGAAAAAATTTGAAAGGAAGCCTGAAATTAAAAAAAAATGGATTGTGTTATGTTATTCCGTTTTCTCTTACAGCCTAAACGAAGAAACTAAATTACGTTAGTTACCAATGGATCGATCTTTTTAGCCGAACTACATTGAACGTATCTGTACATTCTATGCAGCAAATTCCTAATAACACCTAGAGGAAAAGCGCGACTTCTGCATGGTGATTTCCTGTAACCGGATAAAGACAACAGAAGTGAGAAAGGAATTGCTTCGAATACTGGAAAAAACGGATTTGTTATTTGCTCGCTGCTACCGATACGTAGAACGCAATCAAGCAAAGCACCATATGCGTATCACGATATCACTTTTTTGGCATATTATGGCATGCTTGGCGGTCCTCACTTGCTCAATACGTCCAAAATATTACGGCACCTATAAATCAGCTGTGATTCTGTACGTGTGAGTAATACTTTTGGAAGCATAATGTCAGGGCAATTGTCTTTCCTGTATGTACGCCGCGTAGACGGTGACTCCACGCAACGAAATTGCAGTTACAAGCAGTTGTAAGGTTGCCCCGTAATTTCTGTAGTAAAGAAACAGAAAAAACATATTTATCGAGCAATTCTGCCCCGACTACCGCTACAGCTACAGACAGATACACTGCCACTAAATGAAAAATTCATTCCTCTCTAGATTTAGGATAACTACCAAGGAGAAGCTAAACTTACACATAATTTATGTCGATGTTTTATAATTTTCATCAATATTTGGCATGCATCAGCCACGCCAACTGCAAATAGAGCGTAAATAGTGGGGCATGGCGTGCCCTTACCATTTTTTTACGTTGTATGCGTGGAAGTCAAAAACACTACTCAATATACATTTAAAAATACGCATACGTTTGAATAGTTATACACACGATTTTAGTACCTGATGTTTTTTTTTATGCATAAGAATAAGTGAGAAAGTCTACGGCCGTGGTGACTTGATAAAAAAAATTATATACAGTATCGCGTTAACAAATTCGCATCCGGCCTCCAACTCGATTAATTCAACCAGATTAACCTTGAAGCAGAATATTACGAGTACATAATGTCCTTTGGGCTTTCCGCGCCTCGTATCACGCACCGACGAGTGTCTGATGCGCCGCTTTACGCAGATCATGTTGCGCAGTGAGGAACATTAGCGGATCCAGCAGCGACTGCAACATAATCAAGATCGCCGTGGCCATCTGAAAAGTGTTGATGCGCAGTTGTGTAATGTAGAAGATGTTCGCCGGTGTCCAGATCACCACCATATTAACCGTCAATAAGGTCAAGATATAGATGGACTGTGAGCGGCGTTTTTTAATACGCTGATAATCCGAATCCGATGTCTCCGCCGTTCCATGCGAAGCGACACGATTCGAGCGCATCATCCAGCGTTTTCTGCGATACAAAAAGAGGAACACGGGATAACTCAACACAATGAGAATCTCCGGAAGTAAATACAGTACGGCGTTGACAGCGGCCATCCACTGCAGCAGCGGGCGTGCAGCCGCAGAAAAGGCACAGGTTTGATCGTTTATCGGCTTACGATACGCCGCGTCCATAATAATTCCCGGGACAACGAACACCACGATTAGCAAAACTAGCGCTGCGGTTATCCGCAGCGAGAGAGGTTTCGTGTTCTTTTCTTTGTACGATACCGGGTGTACCACCGCCCAGATGCGGTTGGCGTAGATGACCACGTGGTACGTTAAGAGAAACGCAGCTAAAATGGTCAAAATAAGCAGTTTAACGACACAGAAAGGGCGGACGTAGGGAGCTGGGAGAACGTCTTTAATCAACATGAACGTTTGACTGCGGATGATACCGTTGAGGACGTGGGCGCTGGCTAGAATAATGACATAGACGCCGAAGGGCGTGATGACCGGGACGCGGTAGCGGTACAGATACAGCACGAAGGCGTTGACAATGACGCCACTGACGCAGATGACCGTGGAGCAAGTGTCCATCCATTTCCAGTTTTCTAATACGGAATAGGTACCGTTAAAATTAACGGGTCCCCAGCGCACAGATGTATTATTCATGGTTATTGCGTGGACAAGAACGGTTTACGCTTTGTGTGCAACAGGATTACTTGTTAACCTTTAAGTAATCGTGGTGGCGACAAAATAATATTATCCTCCTGAACGTTAAATTGCACCTGTACAAACCGCGCGTTGCCGGTGTCTCTTATGCTTACGTCTTAGTGAACCGTGCAACAAAAAGCAGCAAACTGGTCAATGCTTAGGAAGTAGTTCGTTTTGCGTTACCGGGATACCGTCGCCGGAAACACCTGCTCCATTTACACGGCCTCCAATTAAATGTCCTTGCTCATGCATACCGATTCGCGTAACTGAATGTTCAAAGGCGCAGTATTGCGCACAAACGACAGATGTCGGTCGGAATGCTGTTAAATATAGAGAGACGCACCTGTGATACGGACTATCCTATGTAGTTACCAGTGAAGCGTAATTTTTCTTTCGAGTGTCTTGTTTTTGAGCTGACTTACGAGAGTATCTTTATTAGCCTTGTTTCTGCATTTTACCAGGAAAGACTGGCTGAGAAGCATGTGTCTCGCTTGGCATTACCGTGCCAATTAACCGCAAAAAGAAACATAGCAGCGCTTCCATACCGGCAGCTGCGCGTGCGCTGCTCTTTCTTCCGCTAGAACATCCTTCAAATCGATGTCTCTTCTTCCGCTCAACAGATCGATGGTTTCCGTCTTTAACAGGAAAAATCGGTCGCTGCTGCCCTTGCCGGTAACCATAAACGGTGTTTTCTTCCATAATTTCCATATCACAAAGAACAGCAAGGTCACTGGTGCAGCCAGATACGCTTTGAAGAAGACTTCCCATGGACTATCGTTGGACCCGCCCAACGGTGCAACGGCGAGGTAGAATTGCCCGATTAATACGGCGACGTTGAAGATGATCCCCCACCACGAACCCCAGACACCGAATGTCGCCCGGAAGGGGAGCTCGTCCAGCGTGTGACCTTGGGCTTTCCATGCCTAAGGTATTGCCAAGAATGCTTTCATTAACCAAGAACGAAAGTTAAAAATTCACAGGAATCTTTCGCTCATCAAAAATAAAAGTTACAGATTCGAAGGAATTCTTTCATTATTCAAGAACAACAATTACGGGTCCAACCGTTCAAGAAATATTTCTTCTTTCGGTAATGAATGTTAAAGGTTCAATGGATTTCATTACTAAAGAAATAAAATTATGGGTTCGAGGAATGTTTCGTTGAACGAAGAGGAATGTTAAAGGTTTTAAAGAACTTTTCAATAATCATGGTCCATCGATGAAATTAGAGGCTTGAAGGACTGTTTTCGTTAACCAGGAACGAAAGTTAGAGGCTCAAAGCTGATCACATACCTGTCGGAACCGGATATGCGCCCAGCAGATGGACGCCCAGGTGAATATGGTGGATAACCCGGAGATGGCCAAGAGCCAGTTAAAGATGGTATCAGAAGCGGCAGTTTCGTTGATGAACGCTAGAAGCCCGATGACCAGAGCGATGATGATGGCGAAGAGCGGACGGCCCTGTCGGTCGACATACCCCAAGAACTTCGGAGCCTGGCCTTGGTGGGCCATGGCGCACAGGGTCCGGGATGACCCGTACACGGAAGAGTTTCCCACCGAAAGCACCGACACCAGGATAACGCCGTTGAAAATGGACGGGAGAACTTTGATTCCGGCTTCGTTGATGGCGATGACGAAGGGTGAGGCGGTGATGTCGACGGAGGAGTTGGCGTTGAGGAGTTGCGGGTGGTTGAAGGGGACCAGGAGGCCGACGAGGAACAGAGAGACGATGTAGAAGATTGTGACGCGCCAGAAAACTTGTTTCGTGGCTCGCGGGAGGGTTTTCCGCGGATTGGCGGACTCCGCGGCGGCTAAACCAACCAGTTCCGTACCTCCAAATGCGAAGGCTCCGGTGACAAAAATAGAGATAAATCCGAGGAACCCGTTGTTAAAAGCTCCTGGTTCGGACCTAAGAAAATCCCATTAGTTTTATTTTTTTTGCGGTAAGGAGCTTCATTTACCATGTCTTGACTCCACGATAACCGCCCTGGGGTGCGCCTCCGCAGTCAATAACCACGGCCAGCACGATGAACCCGAGTACCGCGATGACTTTGATCATGGAGAACAGGAACTCCGCCTCGCCGTAACCTTTAACCCCGAAGAAGTTGATGATTATGATGGCGACGAGGAAGGCGCCGATCCAATACCCCGAATTAATTTGCCCATCCGTCCAGTAGTTGATGGTGATGGCGGAGGCTGTTAGTTCCAGCGGGAGAACCACCAGCCACTGCAGCGCATAGTTCCAGCCCATGGCAAAACCCCAGGCCGGGTCGATGAAGCGGCTGGCGTAGACGGAGAAGGAACCGGCAATCGGGTACATCACCGCTAATTCGCCCAGCGCCATCACCACGTTGAAGAGCATGGAGCCGATCAGGGCGAAACCGATGAGGAGGGAGGCGGGGCCGCCTTGGGCGAGGACCCCACCGGAGCCGATGAAGAGACCGGTGCCGATGGCTCCACCCTGAGTATCATTAAGCCAACTAATTACGTGCGTTCTTCGTATTATGATATCGGACTTTATTGCTCAAATCAATGCTACAATACACAAATTTAAAGAAGAAAAACACGCTAAACTATAACAGAAAAATTTCGTTCAGCTTATCCAGTCCTTCCATCGTGCCCAGCACTGACGCCGCATTTCCCCGTTGAATTTCTATGGACAAACGCTGCCGCAGAAATTCGTGCGAGCGTGCTTCTCTGATGTGCTTCTCGTATTATTAGCAGTCAATTTCTTACATTAGTTGGGTTTTCTTAGGTGCCTTAAAGCTTACCAAAGTTTTTCACGTTTTCATGTGTCTTGAAACTATTTAAGGTTTCTTAAATTTGTTTAAATTTTTTTAAGTTTTCTTAAATTTTTTTAAAGTTGTTTTTTAAGTTTTTTTTTATGAATTTTTTAATTTCTTAAGAGAAATGTTGCTGAACACATACAATAGCAATCATCTGCATGTGGCGGTTCTTGAGTTCGTGCTTGAGACCGATATTGCCGGTGCCGGAAGGCAGCGGTTTAGGAGTGTTACTCTCGGGATCCTTCTCGTGATCAGCGGGAATTGGGTGACCGTGGACATCCTTCACCGGCTGACTGGGATCCATGGGTTTAAACGAGTCAATGTAGTCGCGAACCCAGCGTTTGTAAAAAGGAACCTTGTTCTCCGGCTGCAAGTAATGAAGTTCTAAAATGTTACCTTTTTTGTAACGATTGCGTAAATGGGCTGCATCTCGCTTAAAGTTCTTATGATTCTATTTTACTAAATAAATTTATTTTTGAAAGTGCACCCATCTGGAGGAGACGCTTAGTAATGATCTTATAAGAGCGTTCAGTATTCTGCAGTTGATCTCGTAAAAAAACAGTATCATCGAAGCAGCTAAAATGCAACAAAAACGCACCTGCTCAAAAAATATTAAGTTTTAGACGACTTTGCGTAGTTAATCGCCAAGCGCCGAAATGGGCAATCCAGAAACTTTTGAAAGTCACTTACTGGTGTATAGTGCCACCGCACTACAATTTTGCCGATATTCTTACAGTTAGGTGAAAAAAGCGGCTGTTGATGATTACATGATTACGCATTTAGTAGATAATCTGATGCTTGATATGGTATTTTTATTATATTGCTATCATACTTCTTTTTTTATTTATTATTATTATAATACAATTATAATTCCTTCAACGAATCACCACTTGTTGTATCTGTACATACCGTCATAATTGACAGATCACTGCCGGTGGAGGAGGACGACAGCCGGTAGAAACGGTTCTGGCCTTTATTGGCCGGCGGCGGCACAGTGTTGTCCATCCTTGGATCGGCAGGGTGTTATTCTTCCAGGCAGAAAGCAGAAATACAGATCCGATCCGATGGCGAACACACGGCCTTCAATGCTGGGTGATTGCTAATCACAATCAACGGCGACTGGATGTTCTACCCACCAGCATGAATATTTCTTGCATTAACTCGCGCAAATTGCTCCGACGTTATCGACAACATGGACCTCTGTACTGACTGTACGCGGGATGTTTTGAAAGGACGCTTTGTTGCGGTGGACAAGGACTTATCTGCCATTCAGCCGATTCTATTCACCCGCGTGTCACGGCTGAGTGGAAAAACCGGTGCTCTTATCAGTCAAGGTTAGACGGCCGTCATCCACAATATAATACACGCTGCGCTTGTTGTAATGAGTGTCTGATAAGGTGGCATCGTAAATCATACGTACTTCCATGAGGAAAATCGCTGTAGTTCTGCTGCACAGCTTTTACTATTGAACAGAAATATTCCGTTTCCGCCACCGTCTATTAAAGTACTGCTTAAACGCAACGGAGAGATTCTCTGTCCATGGTAGTCATACGCATTTGAAAGCCCATAATGGCTGGTAATGCAAAACCACAACCGGTGTTCTTAATGAAAACAGAAAGAATCGGTTTATCCGTACGCACCAGAGTTAATGTTGGCTTTGCCATTATTTTAATATTTCACTGATCTGCTCAGCGTGTCTGATAAGCTAGCAGTCCGAAGCAAACGGAATAAGTACCGAACCGACTAACTTTATTGTTAATTTTACCAGCAGCAATCAGAGTATGCAGTTGCACCCGTAATAAACGCAACTGATAAAAGGAGCTCGCTGAGATGTTGGAATTTTCGAGTATGCGGAAAACCCGTGGCTAAATTTCTAGTAGCAGAAGTCATGAAATGCGAGCTACGACTCCTCATTCTAACGAGCATCCCTCACTCCTATTGACGAAATATCCGGCACTGATCATTGGTCACCAGGGCGGTATTGCGCAATTGTTTCTGGGTTTACAGATATAAGAGTCTAGTCTGTATTTTGGAGAAACATAGTGATGCATAATATTTGGCATATTTTTCAGCAGGCAGTAGGCAAATTTTTTGTGCCTCTCAGCTTTTACTTCTGGAAAAATCAATTGTGTGTTTTTCTGATAAAAGGGAATCCGCATTGATCCATGACCCCGCGGGCCGGTCATGGGACACCGAGACGAGCAACTGGGGAGCTGCCATGATGTCGCTCCTCCCGCGCTTTATCAGCGAAACGTGGGCCGGGATTAACATCGTCCGCTGAAGGCGCTGCTTTTCCACATAATCTTCGTACAAGTATTTACCCAATTCGTTATTGCAACGCTTGGTGTTCCTTTGTTTTGCGAGATGCACGATACCGAGTAGCTGCCGATGGCCTGATTTGTGTTACTGGTTATGTAACGGGGCGAAAATGACGTAAAAGCTGTACGACAAATTTCGGCTTGAATTACAACTCTGCTGTATCGACTGTAAACAACATATTTTATGGTGTCACGACCTGGCGTATAGTTTATTAGCAGCCAGGGAGCTGCTCGAAGGCAGACTAAATATCGTAACACATCTGACAGCCACAATGGCAACTACTGTTGCCATGCCACTGCGTCACAATGGGATACAATTTTTCCACACCATACTTTGATTATTTCTGTTTCTGTTTAAGGAAAACGGCCCGGTGCATTTTTATGAAAAAGGGTGCCATAAATGGGATACATACACTAATTCGCGCACTTCGAATCACTTTTTGTAATGCTTTATGTCATTCTAAAGCTAAATGATTTGTATAGTGTGTTCTGAAAACCGTTTGCGAGCGCAACACCCGGTTGCCGAGATATGGCGAACAAAAATGGGTGAAGCGTTTAAATGCATTCTTGTGTACCAAAAGTCTGGTTATTACCCGATCTTCTTGATACTTTGCTGCGAAAGACATATGGCCATAAAGTCGAAAGTGAGCTACTATCAGATACCTTTGCATTTGTATCCGATTTTAAAATGAATTACAAAGATTTTGAAATCCATTTTAAAATTATTGGAAAGTGCTACGAACCTGAATTGATTCACTTTCGACTTTATGACCATGTGCCTTTTACAGCAAAGTTTCAAGAAGATCGGGTAATAACCAGACTTTTGGTACTCAACATTGCATTTAAACTTTTCACCCAATTTAGTTCGTAAGATTCATTGCGACTCAAGTAGCGCACATTTCGATGCTTTTGAGTGATTAGTAAAAAACGGTTTTATCGGGTGTCCACAAGTGCGTCCTGGTTGGCCATTAAAATTAACTGGTATCGCCAGTCCGATGAAAAGAAAATAACGCCGTAAATGGTTTCTGGTTATTACGAACATTTCTTGAGTCAATGTATGGTAACTGCGGCAGAAATTCCAAAGCCCGAGGCTGCGCTGCTTAAACCTAGATCGAGCTGGATACTGTTTTTATTTCATTACCATCACTCGTTCGTGCGTTAACACTACCGCGGCCTTGTAATTGCCTCCAGCAATTGTGGCACTATATCCGCTGTACAGCGGTTTTAATTGGAATTGATCGGCGGAAGACGGTTGTTGCGGTTAAGGAACAGAGCGGGAATTTACAGGAATTTACTATGCCTTGCGGTGAAAAGTTGCCTTGAAGAACGCGACATTTATATACGATACTGAAATAACGCACACGCCTGGATGAATTTCCACGAATATAGTGTAATTAAAACCTCAATTTTAACTCAGCAAATAGGCGCTTTACAATGCTTTCCAAATAAACGCTTCCTTTTTTATTAAAACAATCCGTCGTACTTCGAAAAACTAGAGTGTTGGTGATCAAGCACATTATGCCGGGTTTATTAACATGTAAGTACGCCAACGCCACGGAATCGCTCGGTATCAAATTGTCAAACATGGTTTAAAGCAGAAAGCCAACAAAGTGTTATAGACATAAAGACATCACCAGCTGATTTCCGGCTGTCGTCGTTGTGCAAACGCAATTGTCCACGCTTGAATCAACACACGCCAAACAACGCTTGTGCAAACGATGGCGATATAGCGGGCATAACCGGCCTCCCTGATCGTGTTTGCTCTCCGCCGGAATATTGCTCATGTGTAGACCGTAATGTTTGGTTTAACTTCGGGAATATATGTGCCCCATTTCGCTGTGTCCCGGTATTTTCCGGAGGCAGTAGAAAAATCACCGGAGGACGCAAATATTGTTTCTCGGTTTGTAAGGCATGTCACGTGATCAGCCGGCGTTTGTTCAGCCGACCTTGAATGGAAAATATTTTTTGCACTGTAATTACACAGCTGACTAGGCAGACTAATGGAACTCTGCGACGGTGCCTTATTTCGCAAGCCTATGCTTAGTTCAAGCGTTTCCAACAAGCTGACGATGTAAATCAGTAAAAAAAATCTATTTCCAAGATTTCCGCGTTAAAAAATGCTTTACCACATTACGCACCAGATACGCCTCGCCACAAAAATTCTTCCGTATCGGTTTACGTGTAAAAAAGTTTTGCAACTGTATAATTAGGTAAGTTTCCTTAAAAAAAATACAAGTCGTAGTAAAAAACAGAATACTAAACTTTCATTTCGATAATAATTTGTTTAAAATCAACCTTCAACTTCCGTCAGCTGCTTTTCTTCAAGTAGCCGCTCGTAGTTATGTAAGTAAGTATTTTGTAGTTATTTTTTGCAGTTATGTAAGTTATGTAGATTGATTTTGTAGTTATGTAAGTATTTTTTTATGCGAAATTGGAGCAAATATAGCGAAAGCTTAATAAAACGAAAGCGTAACATTAATATCGAAAGCGTAACATAGCGAAAGAGTAATAATTATAACAAAAGCGTAATAAATACTTCGAAAGCGAAATATATCGAAAGCGTATATAATGAAAGCTTAATACACTGTACAAATATAACGAAATCGTAATACATCAAAGGCATTTTTAGCACGCAAATCGTCTCGCTACACAACAGCCGATTTTATTTGCACCAGATTATGCTGATGCGTTGTTTTACAACATATTTATTCGGGAGCAAAGTGATGTCCGTTATTTAAACGACGCGTGATGAAAGAGCGATTAAACCTGCGCAGAGTAGTAATATGTATAATTGCCTGCCTCCCGCGCATCCATCCCACAGCGCACGGCAGCGCTAACCTATTGCATAATCCCGCAGTGCCGGCAGGCGCAGCGGGAGCGCGCTAGTTCATGACGGGCGCATTCGACATGTGCACAGCAACCAACTGGGAAGGATTGCCACTGGATGCGTTGAGGCGTTGTGCTGGCACACACCACTGATCACCGCCACGCACATACAGCACTGTACATCGGTTACAGACGCTAGATGAAGTTGGCAGTGTGGGTTCTGTGTGATTAACAGCAGCCGGGAGTTTATAGCGTGTTCGGTTAAATGCCGGGTTAGTGTTGATGCGTAATGAATGAAGTGTGCCGTGCACTTGTATACTGTCGATCTATCTGGCCCGTCCGGGATGCTGCCGGTGCGGGAGTTTTGTTAGGGTTACGAGCGCCGGGAATGTGTCGTTGCACTCCGCTTAATTATTGTGACAAACCGTTCTCCTTTATCTAATGGCTTCTTCATCGATCCCCGGTTAGCGATTTATCTAGTGCACTGACTCAGGGTTTGGCAACGGCTAATTTCTGGTTAATCAGTTCAACTTTTTTTCTGGATGAGGGTTAACTGGGACGTTGAAATGATTCAGCGCTTAATTCGTTACGAAAATCGGTAATACTCGTTTTTGGTTCATCTGTGTATAACGATTTTTTAAACGCTGGTCGAATAAGCCGGTTTTTTATCTAGCCAGCGCAGGAATATTTTTAACTGTCTTTTGGTAATTTTGTCGGCTGACTGATTTCCTGTTTTCGCAAAGCGAAGCGAGCGAAGCGACCAGCTTATATTTGCCGAAGGGAAGCAAAAATATTTTTCAGCGTTAGCTCGGAATTTCGCCGGCTATCTAATATCGTTGTGTTGGTTTGGCGGGGCGTTTGTTTCACCTTTACTACGCGAGCGAAGCGCCTCTTCAAAACATTTATTTTTGGTCTACTCGAAGCTTTGCCGGCTGATTAATTTTCCATTATCGTTTGCAAGACGAGCGAAGCGATTGGGCAACGCGATAATTTTTCACGCAACTGCTTATAATTTTTCTTGTTTGCTCCCATTTTTGGACGAGCGAAGCGACTGTTCAACGGCCTTTGGCGACCGCCACGATCGTATTCCGAACCCCCGTTTGATCTGCCATATCAAAAATGAGCAATTTCACGGTGAACTACTTCACGGTGCCGGTAGACGCTCTCCCCGAGGACATGGTCTACGGCCTGACCAACCGCGTCATGATCGTCGTGTACAGTCTCCTCATGCTGGCCTCCCTACTGGTCAATCTCATCTTCATCAGCATCCTCATCCGCCGCCGTCACCGTACCCGCACCCACTACCTCATGATCAACCTGTGCTTATCCAACTTCTACCTGGTCCTCGTGGAGATGCCGCTGCAGATCGCCTGGAACACCAGCGTCATGTGGACCGGCAGTGACGGATTATGTCGGGCGCTGGCGTATCTCAGCATCATCGGACTGTACGGGAACGCGTTCTTCACGGTGGCGATTGCGCTGGACCGGTGGCAGTCGATTTCGCGGACGACGACCAAGGGGAAGTTGTCGTGTTTTGAGTTGCGGAAGCAGCGGACACGGTGTATGATCGCGCTAGCGTGGATTATGGCGCATTTGTGCTCGGTACCGCAGGTATGTTGATTCGGGTGGATGTTGTAATTATGGTAGTGGGTACACTGTAATTCCGGGGTGGAGTGCGCGCTCCCGCTTCTTCCGGCGGGACAATAACCTTGTATTTACCTGAATGATAGGGTGTATTTTTGTTCAGTTTTATATCGTTAATAACATATGCGGCATTTCTTTTGCCGTTAATATACGATCAGTAAATACATATCCAAATATTTATAATTAATGAAGGAAATTCCCAAAAACTATAAGAACCTGTAATAACAGACTAACAGTAGAAGACGGCGTGTTTCTATAGTAAATATTTGAAGTAACTGTAGAACAGTTTCTCAATAAACAAGAAATACATGAAATGTACTTTCAAATAAAAAGATATTAGTTTTCCAGCAAGTAAAAAATATGCAGTATGCTTAATTAATAATTTTTTAAAATTTTTTGTCAGTTTTTGTTTATGTTTGCCTTTTTTATGTATTTTACATATTTTCACATATATTACGTATTTTTATATATTTTTTTATATTTTATATACAGATATATTTATTTTTTATTTTTTTCTATATATTTATTTGTTTTTTATTGCCTATGGTTTTTTGTTATTATTTTCGTAATCTTTTTGTATTTTGCTTTTTCTTGTTCTTTTATATTTTAATTTTATTTTAGAAATCATTCGTTAGCGCATTTATTCAGGCATGATTCAGGTACGAATAAAAGCATGATAATTTTGTTATTGTTTTGAAAGCGATTAATACATCTGTGGCGCAGCGGAGCGTGCCGCAGCGCGTGCACTACAGTATTGTTTGTTGTGCCGTGTCTTGAGAAAACGCATTTAATTATCCGATCATTTCCTCCGCATCAGCGCGCCGCCGCCCGGATATCCGGCGGCTTAATTCCGGGGCGCTGATGACGGGACTAGAAAACACCGTAATTACCCGTATCAACTGTCTTAAGAACTCGACCAGGGCCATCTGCGTCCCCCCATCAAACATCCTGACTCTCGGAAACTTATTATCCGGTAGTTGCGAGCGCACGCTGTAAAACTGAGGAATTAGGAAAAGCCGGCTTTTGTTTTAAGGGGGAAATGAGCGGTAATTTGGTGGTGCTTGACGCGGGGCTATGCGATACATCCGGTATAGCAGAGCACGGAAGTCTCGTGTCTGCAGACCGGTGATTTTTGCTAGCGTTTTTTGATTTTCGACGACGCAGCTGCGCAAGTAAAATTCGCTTCCGTTTAAAATGCAAATCTCGGCTGTTTAAATACCCGCATTAAGGAAACTTCCGTTCAAGATATCCGTTTTGGAATAATTATAAAAAAATGTCAGTAAGAAAACCCGGCAGTATCAAGATATCATCTTCTTGAATTTCTTATATTAGTATGAAAATTCCCTGTTTGGCAACCTACTTTGCCTTCGGTCCGGCAAAACTAATTTTAATTTTCTGTAGCAATATTTACTGCTGTTTACCTGAATTCATTATTTATTTGTTTTTGTAATGGGGGACAAAATAATAAGTTTTAATTTTCTTCCTTCCCGATTTTTTTACTTTTTTTGCCCTATTCATGCTTTTATGACAGTCATCGTTTTTGTCAACTAATACGTAAGTACTTAATTCTTTACTCGTTTTCACATATTTTGTAATACTTCATTATTTCGTTAAATGTTTAACTTTTCAGCGTCTAAACGAGAATACGTGTTTTATTTTCTCAATTTTTCCTCGTTACTTGTAATTTTTTATGACGTTTGTTGCGTCACAATTTTTATTTAGCTGTCTGTTTTATTCGATATTAAATATTAATGTTTTTCCTATCCGATATTTTTTGCTCCACAAAAATTATTGTAAACGCCCACAGTTGTCGAGAAGAAAAAATGTCGAACACCAGATAATAAGTCAATCACATCATCCGGGCTTAGCGCAAACCCACCCGGATCCCTGATTATCCCAAGCCACATCCGGTCGATGTACGGCTGCAAACTCCGCCGTACACCGTCCCCAGTCGAAACGTATCGTGCTGCCTCGGCCATTAATCAATGCACTTTTGTCCCGTCGTCTTAGTGCGATCAACAGCTGCACCTACGAATTAATACTTCTCCCGGAAGGAGCATTTCTCCCCCGGGTGCATTTAATTCTCACAGTGTCCCCCATCAACAACCAGCAGCATTAAATATTCCCGTCGAAAGGTTACTTTTGCCGGGTTCTAAAGTGCCTATCGTTCGCAACGGCGGCGTAACGCGTCGGCGGAACCGGATATTGCCACTGTAATATTCACCATACGGCTTTTTATCCAACCCTTCGATGAATATTCAAATAAGCTATCGATATGTTGACATGCATGCGTAATGGACTTTCTCCTGTTCCACAACAAAGTTGCCATATTTTTTCTATTGAACCGTCGGCCGTTCGGTTTATTGTACTCTGTACAGCCCGGCATAATCAAGCCAAGGGAAAATTGATTTTCCCCTAATGGACTTCGCGTACCGGCTTTTGTCTCCTTTTCTAAGGCATTGAGAAACCGGGAACACACGCTCGGCTGCGTTGTAATGCGGGGTTGTGTAAGCGGCACGCGAGATTGCCGGTTTAGCGGTGTTTGGTTCTACACGCCGGTTACAGCAAGGTGACCTTTCCCGCGGCGACAATTTCGCGGAGAAATCAACAAACAACTTGAACCTGGTTGTTCGATTAACCCTGAACTGGAAACTAGGAACAGGGCCGCTTCAGGCCGCATTGAGCCGTTAAGGCGCTAACGTACAAACATACGTACATTTTGGATTTTTTTCAGGCTAACTTACGTATTTCCGTTGAAATCGTTTTTCTGTTCAGCGTAATTTATATTTCACGAGAATCTCTATGCGTAAAATTTATTTTAAAAAATCCCAGGCATTCTGATGCTTGAATCAACTGCAACCGCTCGGTGTGGCAGCTTTATGAAAATTTTATTTCAAGGAATTGTGGACACTTTATTCGTGTTTCGTTCGATTTTCGTCAGAAAAAAATAGACTGCTCTGCAAAACAAATTGGTTTTACTTATATAAAAAGATTCAGAAATCAGACCGCGTGTCGCAATGGCGGCCGCTTGGTGCGGCAGCATTATGCGAACTTTATCTTCTAAACTTTTGCAAATACCTTTTTTTTAAATTTTTGTCACAAAAATGGCTTTTTCTGTGCAGCTGATAAAAATAAAAAAATAAAAAAATTTATTTATAGTGTTTCTTTCGGCTTTTACGAAAAGCAGAAACTATTAACAAAACGTGAAATACATATAGTTAAGAGTTAAGGTCGGCCGCAGCGCTACTGGCATTATAGTAATTAATGCAAGTGCTGACGCTGACGGATTGCTTAGCTGCATTAGTCATACATTTTTTCCTGTGTCTGCAAAAACAATCGATCGACCGTTAAGCGATTAAGCGCGAGACGCGCGCGCCCTGACAAGAATTGTGCGGGAATATAATGTTGTACAGCGGAAGACAAGGCCAACGCTCGCGTTGTGTCTGTTTGCGTAATGGATCAGTGGAGCGTGAAAAGCGGTTAAAGAGCCAATTGTCCTTGCATTTGACATTCTGAGTGTTTCCCTTTATTTGCAATGGATCAGGCAGGACACAGAGGATTCTGGGAAGTGTCATGCCTGTTTAAATAGTTGTTCATTTTTTGGCGGAAAACTTTCCCGAAAAAATCTACCGATTTTTAAAAATTAATAGTTTGGCACAAAATTTGTTTCGGAAGATTCCAGAAACCGGATCTAACAAATTAAACTTTTGGAAGTCTTAAAACTACCGTTATGCAAAATGAAATTTTTTCTTTAATAACACCGGTTCGACAAAAATTAATCCAAATAACCATCAAGCGATTAAAATCGCTTTCCAGTAGAAAAAAATAAAATCGATTGATTTTTAAAGTTTGTTTACAGTACATCAAAATAGATTTTACAATTATCAATTTGCGAAAAAAAAAGTTTTGGGAACAACCAGCAGCTCATTTAGCAAATAAAAATTTAGCTAGAAATGCTAAGTAAATAAATTTTTGCTGTCGTAAAACAACCGTTTAGTCTAAATTAGTCCGATTAATCATCAAATGACTTAAATCAGTCAACAAATTTTCGAAAAAATCAAATCGGACTAACATATACTGCGGCCATTTATTTTAATTGAAAGTGACGATTGATTAATGCGTGCCATTAGTATTCACCGCCCTGTGTGGGCAGCACAATAGCCGACGACGCAACAAATGCAGCGTGATCAGCGCTAAGTAATCTCGCACACTGGTTAAACCCCATTCGTCGCCATCACGCAGCCCCGCGAAATTCCCCCGAAAAATTCCCGTTGGCGCGTTTCGTTTACGCGGAACAGCTGCCTGTAGACAAATACCGGCCGGCTTATTTCCGTATAGCCCTATTCCTACACCGATCCCAGGCGGCCACCTGCCTCGATTAACCGCACAGAACGGACAAAGGGGGTCCCTGGGCGGCTGCACTACCCGCTGTAATTATATTGTATACGTCTATATATACGTAATTATGTACAATGTAGGACAAAAATGATTCAGAAAAGTAAGTGCTGCGTTCTAACGTATACTGCGCAAACCACCGCTTCGCTGTTTTTCTAGCGCTTTGGCGATTTATGCGCATTGGATGTGTTCTTGTTGCTCTCTGTTGGTTGATTTTGTTACTTAGTTTCAGAATTCCACGAAACGTCTGACCGATGTTCACATACATAATATGTAATTTACCTTGTAACCTAATCGTACAGTCGCTCGGTTAATTGGCCACCTATAATGGGCGATGGTCGCTCAAAGTGGCCACCATTTATTAAAAATTCACCAAACCGATTTCCTTCGCTTGCTTTTTAACAACGCAATTGCACGAAAACGGTTCAAGTTAATTTAAAAATTCCAAGTACTGTGTATATAGTACGCTAATACTGAACGGGGTAAAGAAAAAAAAACGGAAAAAAATCGGTTTTTGGAATTTTTAATAAATGGTGGCCACTTTGAACAACCCTCTGCTGTTCACTTACTACATATAGCTGGCCAACCGAATGGTCGTACGGTTTTTACATTACCTATATGATAAATTTTAATTACAGTATGATTGTAATTATTAATTATTTTGTTTCTTTTATTGCACCATACTATATACAATATATTTTATAATGCTTTTATAGTACGATTTTGTACGGTTTGAGACCTCTAATATATATACCTAATAATAATAAAGGAGAAGAAACAAGTCTACTCGGCCCGTTTCCCTATACTGCTGCCGTCACCCGCCTGGAGTGTGACGTTACGACAACACATACGGTTAAATCCCGTGCGGTACATAAGCATTGAGCACCATGTATAGCCACAACGTAAAACACCAGCCGGCTGTCATTAAAAGTAAAAGGGACTGGTTCGGCTCGACTTGTTATTCCCCTTATATACGAAGAAGATTATATTAACGTATAGTAATGATTAAAATTATTATGTGGTTGCAGGCCATCATCTTTCACGTGGAGGAGCATCCCAATTACAAGAACTTTTACCAGTGCGTGACCTTTAACTATTTTACGAAATACCAGGAAATCGCCTATAATCTGGGAATCACGTGTCTTATCTACTGTGTACCGCTGTTGGCGCTGCTCGGTTGCTCGCTGGCGATTTGGGTGTACATTCACCGGCATGCCGAGCATTACCGCTCCACGTCCGCCAGCACGACCGCGTCCAACGCATCCACGAAACGTAAGTCCATCACGGAGCAAACAGAATTCGAAAACAGATCAAAAGTATGTTCTCGAATGCAAACTGATACATGTACAGAGAGTAAGCGAAAAACTACATATGAAGAATTAAAATATACATACAGTATATGAACAGCATATAAATATGTCATATAATATAGACAAGTAAAAAAGTCCATAAAACAATTCGCAAACAGGGTAATTACGGCAAGAAAACTGATCAGTTTCCCTACAAAAACTAATAAGCGCGCGCATAAAAGCGAAGGACTTACAAGCTATTTTGAAAGGCGAAATTATTTCAAATTGAAGAAGGCGGTTACTCAAAACTTATAGTACACACTTTGTCTAGTTTACCTAAATACTGGTTTTGTATTTATTTACATGCTTTTTTAAAATATTTTCCCTAGGCTTTTTCTTTTATTTGGGGAGCACTACTGTTTGTCCTGAATATTTTAACAATGTTGTAAGATAGAGCCTCCATAATAAACTGCTATTTTTTTCTGGTTGATCGGCAATTACTATATGACGGCCGCGAAAAGGCTTCCGGCAATTTATCTCGTTCGGCATTCGCCAATAAATTATTTCCTTTGTACCAGCGCAGTTCAACACGTGATTACAGTAACAAAATTCTTTTTAACGCACGAGGTGCGCCGAACCCGGCGAATTATCTTCCCCCGCTAATTGCTATGCCCCACATCCAGTTATACTGTATCTTACAGCACTGAACAACACCAGCAGCGCCGCGAAACGCGACAGCTGGGCCGTCAACGGGCAGCGGCCCTCCATAATCCCGCCGTCACCCTCCCTGGGCAACCGCCTCCAGGATCGCACCATGCGTTTCCGCTGCTCCACGAAACGCCTGCTGTGCCGCGCGGAACGCCAGGCCTTCCGCTTAACCGGTAAATAACGATTAATCATTTTTCACTCGTTTAGATAATTTAAGTTGATATTTGTACTGATTTTATTTGGCCGTGTTACACACTGTACATAAGTACAGATGTACAGTGTGTATACCCATACAAACTTGCACCGTAATTTCAGTCGCCGAAACACAGCGAGAAGTGCAACTCCCTATTACGGCGCGCCACGCCACACTGTTGGCGGATCTACATGCATTTGAGATGGCACGATCGATCTAAATTATAAAGTATAAAATGTTCCTTTTTCTCCATTTATAATTGTCTTACATTCTGACAGGAGTGAAGTGGACATAGTGGTCGATGTAGTGTAGTGGCAGTCGTTCATAGCGCAACTGTTTGACTTTCGTGCGAAACTCGTGCTATTTGTACGCTTTACATTAGCAATTACGGCAGAAGCTTATACGGTATATGGCTGCTCGAAGCCAGCGGGCATTTCTCTACTGAAATGTTATAAAACTGTTTTATGTATTTCTCATTATATAAGATATATTCTGTAATTATGATGTTAGCTTTTATTTTATAGTGTGTTTATAGTGTTTTATGGTGTCTTTTATTACAGTGTTTTTTATTTTAACTACGAGTAACACTTGTTTCATTTTTAAATTATTTTCGGGTGGGTGTTCTCGAGAGTTAGAAGAGCTATTTTACTTTTTCTAATTATTGTGCTTTTAAAGTTTAAATGTAAATGCAGTGGCTTGAACAAGTTTATAATAAAGCCTACACTTTCTGACAAAATATTTTCCATTTTCTTTAGGTTTCTTAAATTAATTTTCAAAGAAAGGCAAAGGGGTACATTGTGCAATGCAAAGGTCACCCTTAGCAAGCGTAATTATGACCGGAAATGCACCGTGCATTAAACCGTCGAGAGGCGCGGTTGATCAAGCTGGCTGATTGCTTTGAATTGTCCATCGTCATTATCGACGATAATGCCATCCAGACAACGTGCAGTCCTCTCCTCTTCGATAGGTCAAGTAAACTATATATAATCCCGCAAACATCCGTTGGCAGTTTTGTTTCGTAATGAATAGAGACTGTACTTTGGCCGGTTTCTGCATGGCCACACTCTAAGAGTTACTCCGAATTGTTCAAAATATTTCGGAGGATCGTACATTCAGATGTAATCAAGCGGAAATTGTCGGAGATTTTCTCCGTATAATCAGCGTTTCAACGCGCCGCACTTGCAGCGAAAACTTATAAGCCCCTCAAATCGGCGCATTGCCGCTTTCCCAGCTTTTATTCTACGGCGCAGCGCTGACTTGGGAACAGGAGAGCTTGTTTTTTCTCTAGACGCGTAAGGGTATCCACCTACGCAAATTTCTACAAAGTAAAATTGTTGACCTTAGGAAAAACCAATTAATGGAGAAATGTTCTGACGCTTCAAACCGAAATTTTTAACCTAGACACTTCCAAGACACCAAAAATGTTATACGTTAGAGAAGTCTTTGGTGCATGACTTCACAAAGAAGAACCCGCTGCACGAATTCCTTAACTTTTTACCCTCATATTTTCATTTCTTTTTCAAAATTCTTACTTCATCGATTTTCTTCCACACTTCTTCTATCTGGTTTCTAACTTTCTGTAGGTGTTTATTTTGAAGAAATGTAGGTTTTTATCTTCTTTACTATAAAAAATATTTTACCTAAAGTTTTCTGTAGAAACTCAGATTGGCATGCGCTCATGATCAGATAAAACAAGGTGCGTCCTTCTAAGGCATAGTGCGCATACTACTGCTTCACGATGCCGGGGATCAATGCGAAAAATACGTGTTCCTCTAGGACAATTTTTAAGCTCGCTCTGAAACTGCTGCTCTGTTTTAATAATCACCTTGGTAATACATATTTAGCTGTATTTTTTACCGACCAGACATTGAAGTTCTGTTTACCGGGTTGTCTGCTCCTGATATATGAATGAATGAATTGTTTGCCGATGTTGTCTATTAAATTTCTGACCCGCGGACCGGCCGACCGCTTCCTAATGCATTACTTTGACAAACCGTGTATTTGTAGTGGTCTTCCTGTTGATCTTCATCGGATGCCACACCCCCTACCAGATCATCAGCGTCTGGCGCGTCCTCAATCCCAGCCTGAGCGAATGGCTGAACCCCATCGTGCACCGACTGCTCTTCGCCTGCGGCGTCCTCCCCACCATCGTCGACCCGGTGGCCTACGCCAAATTCCTCATCCCCATCACCAACGAGCTGAAGATCATCATGAACCGGCGGTTGCGCTCGCAGAGCGGCGGCCAGGCGTCACGGCGCAGTCGCACCAACAGCCCCATGGAGCCGGAGGACCCGCTGGCCGTGTCGCAGACGGCCGCGTCCGATGGGGCCAAGAAACAGCTGCTGGCCGTGGCGCCCGCCGCTGGGAACCGGTCGCTGTCGTTGCCGGTGGTGCACGGGACGGTGGTCAACGGGAAGTACACCTCATCGACGTCGCTCATCCCCAAAGGTCACGTCTTTGCCTGGACGTAATTGCCTGATTAAGAAAATGTTCTAGAATGATTGATCTCGTTTTTAAAGAAAACAAAAACTTTGTCGCTGGTCGCTTAATTAAAGGGATTCATATGATGCTGCTTCTAGATCTTCTCGGCTTTTCTAGTAAACTTATCTTGTTGCTGGTCAGGTGTCACTATTCTCAAGCAGACGCAATTTGATTGCACCGTCTCGTTTCGTTCTGTTAATAAAAAAACATTCAGAAATGCCGAACTTCGCTGTCAACGTTGAAAAAACGTGAATCGCAATGTTATTGCGTTTTTATTGCAAAAATACTGGTTGCCATAATAACGGTTATTTTTTTTATAACTGCTCATTGCAAAACCATATTGCGTAGTTTAGATTATACAAATAATGTCTCGTCATATTAGAGCTCTGTATTTTTTATCATAGAAAGGCTTTGGATTTATCGTTTTCTGACCTGATTAGTACAAAGTTGAATTATTATTTCACATTTTATAAAGTAAGTATTGCTTTTCTCAAAAACTTTGTATTAATTTGATGGCTGCAATATGTAAGTTGCGTATTTGTGTAACAAAGTTTTGATACTGTTTACGATACTTACGTGATATAACTCATTATTCAGTTTACAATTTATGACTGTCACTTTTTCCCATAAACGTACATTTATTCGTACATTTTATTCGTACACATACTTTTTTGTTCGTACATTTATTGATTTTTTTCCAACGTGCAAACCGCACCGCCGCCGCGTGCCGGCGACGATGCAGTTAGCAGCGCGATAATTAAGATCCCCACTCGGACTAATCACCCTCAAGGCAAACTCTATCGATCCCACCACCCTTATACAGTACCCACACAAAGCCGCTGTACACCATAAATCCATAGAGTACACTTTCATACAGTGGTGGTTAAATAATCCGGAACCGCGTCAGTTGCATTCAGCACCCCATTGACAGGAAGACCGTCGACAGCTTCCTCGTTGAACGCTACAGTCGATTGGCTTCTTCCCTCCCTGGTACCGTGGACGTTAACGGGATCACCCGGCATCAATGAAACATGGAAGGGAGGCGGGATGGACAAGAGCCGAGGGCGGGAGGGGCGGGGAGGGTGGGGGCGTTGGCAGAGGATCTTGACGCTCTGCACGATGCAGAAGAGGATGAAGACTAGACAGATTTGGGCCACGCCGAACACCGACATCCCGAACATCACGGCGCCGAAGGGGTACACTTCCAGGGCGCTGATCAGGTTCGGCCAGGTTGAGCAGGTTGTCGTGGTGTTGACGGGGATGCCGGTGTCGTCTTCCTGTAAAAACAGAAACCCGGTAAAAAATTATTTATTGTAAATACCGGCCGGCCACTGTACAGATATATTACCGGTGAAATTTAATTAAATTTATAAAGCCCAGCGGATACAAAATTATTGGCCACATTAAATTAATTTAAGCAAATTTTTGTCTGCACAAAATTACTGGCAATGTCAAACAAATTAATTTTAAACAACCGCCGTTCTTGCAAAAATATTGGCAACAATAAATTGAAGTAAACAAGCGCCGGCTGATACGAAATTACTGGCCGAATTAAATCAAATGGGACAAGAATCGGATATACAGAATTTTCTAGCACTACCGAACAAATTAAATCTAAACGACCGTCGTTTATGAAAAATATTGGCAGTAGATTGAATTAAGCAAGGGTTGGCTAATCAAAATTTCTGGAATATTAAATATAACTGTAAACAACCATCGTTCATGCAGAAATATTGGCAATAATAGACTGAATTAAGCAAGCGCCAGCTAAAGAAAATTACTGGCAAAACCAAACAAATTAATTTTCAACAAAAACCTTTCTTGCTGTAATATAGACAGTAATAAATTAAATTAAACAAAACGCCGGCTAAACAAATTTACTGTCAATAACAAATTAATTATTTTGGAAAATCGTCAATTAGGCAAAATTACACTTCATGTTCAATTAATTACGGTAATTCTACAACCGGCTTTAAACAGCATTATTAGCAACATTAAAAATTAAATAAAATAACCGTTTTCTAAAACAAATTACGAGCAGCATATTTTCAAAATAAAAAAAATTCTCTCCAGTTTCCAGATTCAACTCTAAAAAAAAACAGGCATCTGAGCTAACAGAAAATGAAAACATTCAGCAATTAATTCTAGACGAGCCCGAATGACTCGCCAAAACTTAATATTACATGGAATTTTGTATTTGTTGCCAATTAATGTTTCGTTACCGAGAGCAAGCGCGTGTTATTGGGATACACCGTGGCGGCCACCCCTCCCAGGGGCATCCAGGGATGAAAGACCATCACCCCCGCCGTGCTCATCCACACCGCCGTCAGCAGCGCACACCGCCACCCGGCGGCCGTCGCGTGAAAAGCGGCCGCTTTTCGGCGAATTAACCGCAGAATCCCGGCGGACAGCAGCAAGAGCACCGTGGCCCCCAGGGGCAGCCAGAAGAGCAGATAGTGCACCGTGTAGACGATATCCGGGTCGGCGTGTTCAATCAGGCCCCACAGCGTCCCGCACGCCAACAGCACCAGCATCACTACATCCGCAAAAACACCGCTAATATGCGTAATTTAACAAGCACAAATGCCGGTTCCGGTATATTGATTACCGGCCCGTATTTACGCACCTTGCAGACAGTTGGCCAGCATGAAACAGATAGCCAGGATGCCGGCGAGTAATGTGGTCCACAGATAGGTTGTTTCGCTGTTCATCCTCGCGGGATGCGGGAGGAACAACTGTGTATACGAGTTCCGGCGGAAGTGGCACAAGCGCCGACTCCAACATAAATTTTGGCAGTGAGTGTATTGATCCGTGGATGGCGCTTTGAACCCGGGATTGAACCCGGCTCGCGTGTCAGCACAATATGTGGCCTGAATTCCTCGGTGTCAAATTAGCCCGCTGTGCTCTGTACAAACGCCGGTATTATTTCCCCATTATGCACCAACCGCGGCTGGTCGTATTCACAAAGCGCCGTGTTGTAGCGATCGATTGGGCAAAAGTGTTGCCGCGGGAAGAGTTGACGGCTTTGTTGTACAACACGCTGTCGCAAACTTTGTGAACAGCTGCAGTGGTACAACAGGGCTATATACCGTACATTATTGTAAGTATATATATACTGGATTAAAAAACCCCGTGGAGGCTGCGTTTTAACGCATACAGCGCAAACCAGCGCTTCTCTGTTAGAACCCAATACCGGCAATTTACGCGTACTGGACGTGTTCATATTGCTCAGTGTTTGTTGATGTTGTTATTCAATTTTTTTCGGCCTTAGACCGACTGGCCCCGTTTCCTTTTTTATGTCTTCTTTGCATTGCAGTTTTGCGCAATATTTTAACACGGTATAATACGAGTATTAGTATGAGCAGCAGCAAACAACCTTCACATTACACTGCCCTTCTGACAGCTTGTCATCTCGTTCATGGCTCTTTCTTGCTAATTCGCGACCCGGCAACAGTACGTTATTCGGAACGTTGTAGCCAGTACGTAGAAATTTCCCCGACGCCCTAAAATTTCACAAGCAGCTGTCATGTATTAATGACCCCGTTCAGTTTCGCGGTCCATAGTACCTTAAGATTAACAGTTCCTCGTGATACCGCAGTGAAACTGGTTTCCTCCGCGATCAAGCGGGCTGTCTCCGGGCCCAGATGGATGCGAAGTAGCTCGGCACTGTACGCCAGACGGGACGCTGTATTGACCGTGCTACCGAACCTGCAGGAAAGCGATTATATTGTCTTAGTTTTACTATTAATTTAAGGTCAGCCAAAAAACTACACGTACAGACAGTAGCGCGGTCGTTTGTTGCCCACAACACCAGCTGCACACGGACCTGTAGAAAAAGACCATAACATTATCAGTAGACAGTAGCCCGTTCTTATACCTGAATTGAATTCTTGGGCATGGTTTGCTTTACATCAGACCTAATGAACCCGCTGAATAAAATAACAACAGAACCAGCGAACACACACTTCGGCCATTAGAAAGCTGGATTTTTTTCGGAGCAGACTTCGGTGCTGCTCTGGTTCTCGCGTTATTGGGTAAGCGAAAGGGAATTTTAATCATAATGTACGGGAACCGTCTCATTACTAACCGGACTGTATGCCGATCTTGAGCTGCAGCTTCCCATCGCGTCCCAACCGCGGGATACACAGAAAGCATTCGTTCATATTCACCGCCAAACGGCAAAGTTCTCCGGCGTGCTTATCGCCGTTAGCAACCGGTAGCCCGCTAGCTGCCTGCCGAAAAACGACATGGTTAACGGGTGACACCGCGTCTATACAGTATAACAGAATGAAGGCCAGCAGTTTTACCATGTAACAGTCGCTGACGGTCTCTACTTTGTACGCATCACACTCTTTCAGGCACCCATCAAACAGCGTGAAGATAATGTTCAGCACGTCGATCACGATGACTGGCGGCGTCGTGGCACAGTACTCTTGGAAGCCAGTCAGGATGGCAAACGACACGGAAGTGTGGTGGAATAGTTCCGCTGACACGGGAATACCCCGGACCAGTTGCTGGACCACTACCCTGCAATGAAAAAAAAAGTCAGTGACCTAGAGAACTTGAAAGCCAAAAGAACCCAAGGAGACCTTGAGAAACTTCCAAAATCTGGGAAACCTTAAGAAGCTAAGAAGTCCCGAAAATTTAGAGAACATAAGAAACCATGAAAACCTAGGGTTTTTAACAGCCACCAAAAATGTTCGGGATCGTTAAGACCCAAGAGATTCAAGCTGAGCAGAATCCCCGGGGAACTTTGAGGAGCCTAAAACGTCCAACCTAAGAAACTTTAAAATTTTGAAAAATCAGGAAGGCTAAGATTAATAAACGAAGCCAGAAATCGGAGAGATCCTTCGAACCCAATAGACGAAACGAGCAATCAAAAAGTAGCCCAAGAACCCCAAGACTTAATTAACCTGATTGTGTTAAGAACTAACAGGCGACATAGTGGTTGATAAAATTCTTCACCCGTTTATACGTCTATCAAGGATTTCCTGAAGGAAAAAAGCCGGTAAAAGTCTTTCGTCTAAATTGTAGTTCGTACCTTGGTAGCATTTCCTGCAGGAGCTCCATACTCAGAAGTTGCTCCCGTCGCAGTTCCACGGTGCGATCATGCACCACCTGCTCCAGCCTTCCATTGTACGTCTCCATCTTCCTCAGAAGATTCTCCACGAGTTTATCATCCGTCACCAGCGTGATACTCCGGTACTCCGCGATGACATCCCGAATCAGCGGTCGCTCATAATAATTGGCACTTTGACACTTTCCAGCCAGATTGACCAGCGCCGGGTCTTTGCTACCGGCTTCGTTATCCATCATCCACGCCATGATACATCCGGCAGTGTAAATGTCACACGTGGGCGTGGCGTGTTGCGCCAGCATCCACGGATCGCGAGACGATGGTGTCGGTAATTCCGGAGCGATGAAGTGCCGGCTGATGGTCTCCGCTGGGATTTCGGCGTTGTGATTGAGGCAGTTGCGGATGATATCGTAGAAACCGGTTTCGGAGATTTTCAGCACGAAATTCCGATCTACCCAGCAAATGCTGGGCGAAAGATAGCCGTGACGTAGGAAAATGGAAGCGTGGACTACGGAAATCCCCTGGCAAAAAAATCACTTATTGATGATGATAAAATAATATAGCTATTCAAATTTAGCAAAGAACTGCGTTTGCTTGTACATGAAAAATATTTTTTATTTGCCAAGAAAATCTATTTTGGCAAAAAATATTTCTTGGGCGCATTTTCCCTTACTCATATTAGTAGTGGTTTTTGTTGTTTTTTCAATGAAAATGATATTTCTTACAAAAGTTTTTATTTGTGTCTTTTTTTACTTGTCGTTTTCATGAATAATCTTTTTAAATTCGTTATGCTTGATTTTATTTTTGGTACGTATAATGAAAATCATGTTAATTCTATTTGAAACTGATGCAGTAATTGTGAAATTTTATTCATTGAAAATCCATTTTTTCCTGAACAGAATCGAAGTTTCGATACCTTTAAAAGGTCATATATCAGTGTAACCCGCAATTCCGGATCCACGGCGGATTTATCCATAAACACCGCTAACGTCCCGCGCGGCGCATACTCCATCACAAAAAACGCCGCGCGATCTCGTTCCACGATCCCAATCACCCGTAAAAAATTCTCCGGTTTTAATGCGCGTAACTGTGAAAACACGCCGTCTTATTGCTTACCAGTATTACAAAGTACTACGTTCCAGAACGTAATAACCTGTTGTAGCCATTCTCTGGCGTTTTTATCGGACGCAACGGATTGTACGGTAGCACGCTGTGTCACCGAGACCGGGTGACCTTTGTAATAATGCACGACGCGTTTACCGGATTGCATCGTCATCAATCGTTGCCGGCGCTCCAGCGTCTCGGCGGATTCCTGGAACAAACACGATAAAAAAGCCAAGCAAACCTTCTTCGAAAGCTGGTCGAACCTGAACGATGCTTTTGGCCATTGAATTCTTGGTGTCGGAGTTCCAAGTGAATGTCTTCGAAATTGGTTTCTAAAAATAATGTATTAAATAACCATTACGAGGGATTGTAGAGGGCGCTGCATACTGTGGCCAGGGTGTACGCTTCGTGCGTAATGAGGTCATCCGCGTCGAGAATCCACCATTCGCCGGAATCTGCGCTTTGCCGCCGGATGAGCCTGTAAAACGACATGAAATTAAAATGAAGAAAAAACACATAAAACGCCGTAAAGTAAACTAAATTACGGTATCTACAATTAAAATACGAAAAAAAGTAAAATTAGTTCACCGGGAAAATTAATAAGATGCTAGTACAACTTAGAAATACTTGCCAAACTCCAGCAACCAAGAACCCGACACCACCGCCGATCGCCAAAATAATAAGCAGAATTAAATTACGCTTTTGCACCAACTTTTCTGCAAATTAAGACACCGTCACACTTTTTATATCAGTTTAATGAAGCTGTATAAGCCTTCACGCTATTGCTAATTATTGAATTATGCTTAATAAAATCCATTTTCTAGCGTGTAAACGACGTACCAAGGCAAGGTCCAGAATCGCCGAGATAGCCGCACACCGGCACATTCAACGGCGGCTGATTATCCGGCGTGCGCCAGTCGATGCTCCGGTTTTGGTAGACAGTCAATTTCGTTCCCAAATGTCGCATAACTGTCTGCATAAAAAACATAATCTTTAAGCAAGGAATTCCTAGTAAATCGAATTACGTACAGAAGTATACCTGAAATGTCTCGGCCGAAGCGTTGTACGTCTTTATGCAGTATGGATTAATGCGAATGCCGGTGTTATCCACCGAAATGGAGATTTCCGGAAAGACAAAAGTCCGATTGTAAAACTGCCTGGCCAAGTTTCGTCCGCTTCTCAAAAATGCCACATTGTCCTCATTTTCAACGAAAATCTACATGAACTGCATTTAGGTATTTAGACGAAACCAAATTTGTTCGCAACTACAGGACGTAGAAAAAACAGATTTAGAAAAAAACTATTTTCATCTTGTATTATTCCATACATCTTTTAGTTAGCATTGTTTTTCAATATCTATATCCTTTTTATGTTTAAAATTTTTTTTTAAATTTTTCTAAAATATAAAAAATTTTATGCTTTTCATCTGAACAATTTTTATTATCGCTTAACTTTCACTAATGTTTATTTGTTTAATGTTTATTTTTTTTTTTATTTTTAATAATATGTTTTTCCTAGAATTATTTTGTAATTGCGTTTTACTGACCTTTGCAAGCGCTTTGACGGCAAAATACGCTGCCATCGTCATGGGATTCGGCTGCAAATCGTAGCTAATATTCTACCATAGTTATCTTTAATCGCTGTTAAAAAGGTCACTGTACCTCTTCGTCGGCATCGTACAGCGCGTCGTACTGGTCGATCCCGCGCTGTCGAATCTCCTGCATCACCGTCTGCATGGCATTATTAACGCCGTTATGACAGTTGCTGGTGATCTGTAGCAGCGAGGGAAACGCTTCCTGCGCAACCTAATTAAAAGCGCATACGCAATTAGTGATGGTTATTTCGCTAAATGTCACGCTTACCGCGTCGTCCGTGTCGTTCAGTCGCGGGATTAGAGTGCCCCATCGTCGCACGCTCTTGAAGGGCTCACCCATAATGTACACCTTAACGAGGCCCGGTTTCCGGGTAAGCACTTTAGGGAATCTTCAACGCTCGTCGCCGGTAATGATGCAATCAGAGCACTTACATATTCGCCGTTTGCCATGCCCAGACGATGCGCGGCAATCTGCGTTTAAAACAGACCAAAAATAGGAGCACTTATGTTGTAATTAAATCGCAGTACAGGAATGAGGAACTTACCATGAACATTCGAACAATCTTCGCGGGAAACATCAGAACGACCACTGAAAATAGAAGATAACACATACTGCGAAGAATTATAAATTCTTTGATAAACAAGAAACCACAGAAGCCAAAAACGACCAGTGAAAATAAAAATATAAATACCACGGAGAAATATAATTCTTTGAAAAAATAAGAAAAAATACCACCGAATCCAAAAAATGGATTGGTTCTAGCTAAATATTTTAAAGGAATAAATTTAAGAAATCGTTCAATAAAATTCTTATGAAATACTAAAAAGGCATATGACATTATAACCAATGAAAATAATAACGGTAGTGGCAACAATAAATTATTATCATTATAAATAATAAAAAAATGTTAATCCCATAATAAATTCAAATGTAAAAACAGATAGCAGTCCAAGTAATAAATAAAGATCGTTAAGGATAGTTTTAGAGTAATCTGGATAAAATAAAAATAAATGAACAATATTTTAAATTCGTTTAAGTGAAAATTATTTTAATTAGGTAAGTGAGCTTTCATAAATATTTAAGGATTTCTTATTTTTTGTTGCTGTTCCTGGTTTTACCTCGACTGATTGGTTGAACGCGCATTAGCAGCTCTTCATACGGCAGCCGTTTATCGGTGCTATCCGCCGGCAAATACAAGAAACTATAGCGCAGCGCCCGGGTGGCCGGCATCAGCTTGAGCGCCGCCCGCATGCGGATGGTGATCATGGCTTGGATGGGATTAGCCACCGTGTTGTTCTCGTGGATGATAACGATGTTCGTCCAGTCGAACCGGTCAAACACCGATAGCATGGCTTGGCTCAGGGGGTAGGAATCGCCAGGAGTAAAAGAAACAGCCGTAGGGAAGATGGTCGGATTATTCCCGTTGAAGGAAGAACCACTACGAAGCAGTGTTAACCGGCAACAAAATTACAACGCGCTCAAAGAAAAAATGTAACATACGCACACAAAGCGGAGAACCATACATAGAGATAAATATTACGCAAAAATGGAAGTGATAAAAACACATAATGTTGTTCAAATGACGTACGATACCACGAAATTCATGTACATATTTGTACAATTATCTGTTACAGAAACATGTCTGTAGAATCATAACAAATAGGTCATACAAATATTACAGAATAAAATAGATAAATGTTTGAGTGCGTTTAACAAAATATCATTATATGATTTACAGAAAACCAACAACATCAAAAAAATAAATGCAGAAAAATAAACCACAACAAATAGAATGACATGATAAATAAATAAAATCCAAACATATAACCACATAAAATATACCATATTATAAAGGTCATCTTAATATAAATATTTTACATAGGTAAAATTGTATAAAAAACTGGAAAATATAGAGAACCGATTTCCGCTTCTTTTTCAGTTACTTACATCAGCAAGATATCCCACTCTGCAAATAACAGAGGGATTACTCAGTTATTTAACCAAGCGATTGGAGGCGAGCCGCGAGCGCGGTATTTTCATCTGCCACAACCAAAATTGCCTTTCAGTGGATTACCTCGTGCTAAATTCCGTAAATCGGGATTTTCTTCACATCCTACCACATCAAACCGTCAAACCGGATTTTTCCCTTTTCTTTGTAAGTATCAGATTCAGATTCTATCGCATAAAAATTTCAGCCAAAAGATCCCTTACCGCTGAGAAAGAGAACCATTAGACTGCGTCCGTCCCAATGCGTATAATAAAATTCCGCGACGAGATGCCACTGCTTGATCACATCATCGCATACCATCAGATCGGCGCGGCTGAGAATAACCAGCGACACATTCAACCGGCCCGCCGCGTTGACCTGTTCCACGGCTATCTGGAACGCCGGGGCCGTGTACGGGATACCCGGGAAAAAGTTGCGACTGTGCGCCATAAAGCACAGAAGGGTCACGGTAATCAGCGGAGGCATCGCGGTGGAAAATCAAGAACAGAATGGCCGTTTTGTGACCCAGCCAAGAACCGTAAAAACGGTAATAGCAGGCGAAAAGCGTAAAAGACAGGCAAAAACCGTGAAAGCAGTAAAAACAAGCAAAACCCGCAAAAAGCGTAAAAAAGGCAAACGTAGGCAAAAACCGTAAAAGCATGTAGTTACCAGATGCACGGGTCAAAATACGGTTATATTGTAATTTGTGGGAACAAGATCCTCAACGCCAACGTTACAAACCAGTCATCGTCCCGGAAATGATAGTGTAACGGTGGCAGTCTTCCAGAAATACTGTTTGGAAGAAAAGGCCGCGTGTGGGCGGCGTAAGTGTTCTCCGCAAAGAGCAGTGCCATACTGCAGTCCAAAGACAATTCCTGCTACGTGACCCCGTGAAGGATTTCACCGGCGGCTAATTGCCATACGAAGTGTAGACGTGCACACAGGTATGAAATAATATCTGCACACGCATTTCTCCAGGGAAATCACTGTGGCAAATCGGTTCCAGTGCTTGACAAGAGATTGCTGATCAAGAGAATGCTTTTCCGCGTAAGAAACGGTGTTCCTACATTATTGTACCACAGACACATACAGCTGCACTGGAAGCCCCTAGAGTGCGCGATCACTTGAACAACATCGGCTGACAAAAAACAGCGCAGCAAAGTGTCTTTCAAACTTTTTTTCAACGTGGTTTGACTGTACTGCATACAGTATTTGGATATTTCGTCCTGAAATAAACTTTCGCATCACGCAAAATATTTGCCGACGGTTTCGTACTCTTTTGGTGTGGATCGCTCCGCAAACTGTTTTAAGAAAAGCGTTTTGGGTGTAAGAACCATAATCTAAACTTATTTAGTAATATTTACTATAAAATCATTTTACTTTTCACAAATTTAAGCCGCAGTTTTAAATATTATTTGTGCTTGGTTTAATAAATATTTTTTTGTGTTTGGTTTAAATAAAATGTGCTTGGTTTATAAAATAATATTTATTAGAAATTATAAATATTAGTTCTGCTTGGATTTTTTTGGTTCAGTATTATAAGCGTTATTCCACGACAATGCACCTTGACAAAAAGCAGACTATGCACAACCAGGTACGGGGTTTCCTATCACGTTTCATTGATAATATATTAACAGAGCAATCTGGAAGCATCAGTGCGGAAAGATCGCTGTCTCGCTGCAGCGAGGTATTAAATTCTACCGTAGCGACAGCGTGTATTCTTTACAGGGGAAACTGTCACCGGCTCTTATGTACGGATCCAGGCCGTTACTGTCATCCAGCGACGTTTGCATGAACGCACTGGTGTTGCGCATGTCAATATTGGTGTTCTTCGGTTTCCGGTAGACTTGTTCTTTGCGCCAGTTATTCGGTTTACCGTTCTCATGTGCTGGATCACGGGGATTGCGCTACAATACCACAGAAACATAACACATCAACATTATTATTTCCATTAAACCTCATAAATCAAAATAAATTTAATCATGCAGGGCGATGATCTTCAGCATAACTTTTGCAGCATTAATCTTGTGCGAGATGCCATTTACTATAGTATAAAAACTATTTGAAGCGTTAACTGACATTTATTAAGAATCGTAACGATTTAAAGAGGAATAGAATCATGTACAGGAAATCTGCTTAACATGGCATGAGTGACCTTTGTATAAAACTGTTGTGAATTTAATACGAAAATCTGTTATGCAAAAAGCTAGCTACTTCTACAGTTTTACTCATAAGTGAGCTTCAGCAAAAAACTGGAGTAGTTTCAAGAGATTTCCGATGAAAAAATAAAAGTAAACAGGTTAAGGCTTGAATGACCTTTTGCACAACTCTAACGGTTATACCGAATAAAGGAAATTATTTGTTTTGCGTAATTAACGCGTAAGCGGACTTTAGTAAAGCTTTTGCTTGTTGTTAGCAGGATAGCGATTAAAAAAGTAGTTTAAATTATCTAAAGCTTGAGTGACGCTTTATGACAGCTGTCACGGTTTTGAATGGGTTATAAACTGTCCAGCGGGGATTGTCAGCGTATTGCAGAAAAGATCAATATTAAGAAATTACACTGATTAAGGCAGCGAGTGATGCTTAAATACGAGTCGTGAAGATGGTATCGGTTTGAAACGGTTTACATATTAGAATTATTCAGTAAAACGGGGCGTGCCGGAAAAACGGTAATAGTGGAACGTACTTTAAGGAAGTTGCTCTCCAGGCGGATGAACTTGTGCTTCTTGAACTTGTTCTTATTCTTCAGACAGTGCAGCAGGATGAAGTCACAGAGCAGTGTGGCCTGTCAAGCACATATAAACACCATTATTATGCGTCGCCCAAATAACCCTACAATACACTGATGGACGCAATTGTCCGGCGTATTATTCCCTAATACGCAGTGTTGGTGTATCAAAGTAAAGTTCACTGACTCCAGTACACGCGCCACAACTAGGTTAAGGCAGATTCCCTCCACAACCACCCAGATGCATTCAATTAAGGGATAAAAGACCGATTAAAGAGATCAAAGTTCGTACACACCGGAGCTGGACTGGATATCGCAGTGTGTGTTTACAGTGAATCAATAATGATTATTTATTTCAAGGTTAGAGACCTCTCTCTCTTCCCGGTTTAAGATGTGAGTAAGACCGGAAGCGGATCGATGTCCGTTGGAAAGTGGGGAGGGGTATTGATCGGGCGTGTTTGTCAGTGTAATTCGGTTTCAATCAGTGTTTAAACGCTGATGATCATCGCTCGTGGTTTATTTATTGGAAACTGTTCAATTACACGGATAGTTAATGGGTGGTAAGCACACTATAAATTTCCGCTGATGTTGTTCATGACAACCGCTTGGAAATCACGGTTTACTTATGGGTCCTCTCTCGTAAAGATCCTCGTTTTCTTACCCAATGTCACCGGGCAAATTAGTACAAATATGTCGTCGTCGGACAAAAAAAATTTGGATAAATCAAACTAACAAAATATACTGTAAGAGAAAAAATTTAAGAATGTAGAAAAGACAAGATGAAAAAAATAGAAACAAACCAAATATTGTTCAAGATGCACGAGTAAGTCCGAAAAATGTTTACATAAAAGAAATAATATTTGGAAAATTCCAAGAAAATTCGGAAACTCAGACAGAATAAAGCGCAATAAAAAACTATTATAACGTAAATTAAAAACAGTGGAGTAATGTTTCGAAAGAACTCGCAACAGCTAAATAGTATAAGTAAACAAATTAGCATAAAATTAAATAAAATAAAATAATTGTGGGGAAAACATTTTTACGAAAACAGCCAAATTAAATAAAAAAATATGGGCATAGTTAAAAAATCACTTTGCAGCATTTAAACGCTTACCATTCCCAGCAGACCGATGCCGGATCCCAAATTCATGGCGAACACCACCGCCGAGAAGCGCCCGGCACTGCCGTACACGTTAAACACCACCCGGATCCCGTAGGCTTTGAGCATGGTGCGCCGGCCCTGACCGTACTCATCCGTCCAGTAATGGGCATATCTAAATAAAGCACCCATTATGCCGGTTGCATGGATTACGCTAACGACCGGCGTTATAAGCTAACGCATGCACACAACGACGCACCGGAAGTTCCAGCCTTTAGCCAGGGTGTCCTCCTTGTTGTCCATGCGGCGGAATTTGTACTCAGGCAGGCAGTATTCGGAGGAGAAGTCCAGATCGCAGTTCCATTCGATTATGAAGCCCATTACACCGCCCTGCCGAATTAGCGCTATTATTCGTACTGTCGTCGTTGTCTGGCGTCGTTATGTGACAAAGTGCATCGTTAATGGTTAAATGGATTACATAAGTACAATAAGTGCGCTTCAGCCAAATAGTCCGCCGAGTAAACGTGCGGATTATTGATCCTCGTATAACGAGAGAAAAAACCGGGAAAATATCGCAGCAATTAAATGCACGCAGTTTTTACAAACTTTACGATATGTATCGATTTAAACGCAAACACGTGTACGAAGACTTGCTACTACATTACATACAACAACAACAACAAAATTATTTTTAAAAGACGAAAAATAAATCCGAAATGATTTCTTTCACGATTAAAATGGTAGCTTATTATTACTTTGTAGGAAAGCGTGATCATATAAGTAATTTTGAAATAAAACGAGATAATATAACGAGGTGGTACTGCTTAGCAATATATAACAAAGTAGTATAGAGTAATAAACTAAGTTCAAAAAATACTAATTTTTAAATATTTAGTTTTGATCATAAGTATGCAAAATGGTAAACGATGCATTTATAAGAAAAAAATCTATAGATAAATTCCGAAAAAAATTGCTGTTATTTAAATAAAAAAAAATTATAGCAGTGACCTTTACCCGACTGCTCATCTCCGTATAATCCTCGCCGGCATTCTGCACGATATCCTTCATAACGAAGATGGGACAGTACTTATCCGTGACCGGATGAAAGCGGCACGTGGCCAGATAACTGGCGTTCAGTGACGTCAGAATATTCCGTCGTTTCAGCTTGAATTTGGGAAACATGATGTGGTTCTTCACCAGCACCGTGAAATTCTCCGATCCGGCCAGATTCGGCGGGCTAAACAGAGCGGAAACGGTGCCCGTGTGTAAAATGTGAGTGTACATATGTGAGCGCTGTGAACGCCTACTGCGGCAGGATATCCTGCTCCGTCGGACACCAAGCGCTGATCTCGCACGTGCCGTTAGAACAGCGTCCCGTGCGGAAACCGTTCCCGTTGATCACTGCCGTGCCGGCTGGGCATTCCGCGTCAACGCGGCAACGCACGTTGGGACTATTTACATTGCCGTCCTGTACATAAAAATAATATTTAACAACATTTATTGACAGTGTATTTTTGCGATATTTACGAGTACATATTTTGTTGGTACTGCGATTATAAAATTAAAAGCAAATATCAGAATATTATAAAAACATTTTTACATAAAAAAATGTTAAAATTTTTTAACATACACATATACACATGCGCATGACATGACTTAAACATGTATTAAAACAAGCAAATAAAAATCAAAAATAAGAATCAAAAAATTTAACCACATAATAGCTACGTAAACCGCAACCGAAAATTACAAAAGTCATTAGAATAAAAATAATATGTGATACAACAAGTAAATATATAAATTATTTAAAATGTTTCTGATAATGCAAATATGGAAAAACAGTGTTTCCACGTATCTACAGAGTACTTACATTAAAGCGTAAATATAACAGCCAATAAATTGTATTTACTTTGTACTTCTTAATAATATTTTCAGTTATTAAGAAGTACAGTTTACTTTCAGTTTACTTATGTGTACATACGTGTACTTCTGTGTACATACGTACATCGTAATTCACGTGTGTTTCGTTTCACTTTTTCAGCTAAGATTCACTTTATGCAGAACGTTGGTCGTTCTTATCGTACCTCGGGACAATCGGCCTGCACTTGATCCGGCGCAGCAATGAGATTGGTGGCAATAAAAAAGGCATTATTCTCCTGTGCAAAGTTGCCCGATATTACCAACAGCGCGCACTCCATCTTTGTCAGTGTGTGTACAGTATATACTAATCAGCATCAGCATATAATAGGCACCTGTGGCGGAATGACGAAATCGATGCTGTCCCAGATGTGCGTGTTGAGCGGATAGGGCGGCGCCGTGCGGATCAGTCCCTTGACTTTGGTCACTACGCTGCTCTCCACGTGGTCCACTTCCTGGTAGCCCTTGCTCCAGATGAAGACGTATCTGTGGAATGTGGATGCCCGTTAATAGACGATGACAGAGATACAAATACGCTAATCAGCGCCACACAGGATGTGGTCGGCAGATTTCATGCGGCGATTGTAAAAACCAATTTCCTTTGAGAGATGGATACGTTTTTACGAGCCGGAAACATGTCGACGCTTACCCGATGACGTAGGCGACGATGGCGGCCTGCACCAGCCGGTGGATGGCGCCGATTTTTTTGCTGCGGATATTGATGATTTTCGGCGTTTCATAGCTGTTCGACAAAAAAATTATTAAAAACTACCGGTACAAAAATTTATTACAAACAAATTGGAAATCAGACAGCCGCTCCGCGGTTCAGCTATTTTAATAATAAAACCACCAAACAGTGTACAATAGAAACTCGTCTTTGGCGCATAAATCGCCGGCACTGGCTCTGCAAACAGAGAATCGTTTGTTTGCCACATTTGGCATTAAAACGAAGCAACAGCACTTTTCAAACACGAACTATTTTGCTCTGCGCCGCAGGAAGATCCCATTGGACAGTTTCTTAAAATAAGCTACAGAGCAAAGTAGCTAATGATATATTTTTTCATTTTGATTTTTTCTAACATATCATTGTTAACAGTTAGAAAATTTATTTTATAAAAATTATTTTTGTACAATGAAAATATTTAATTTTTTTTACTTACCTACAATTGCACCGGAATATCTCAAACTGTTTTATTGGAAATATTAAAATAATTATTTGTCGAAAATGGTTTAACGTACGCAAAGAGAAAATCCGCACCGATATCCAGACAGCGCGTTATCCACGTGGACATCAGCGGTTTGGACTGCATCGGGCTGGCCATCACATCGCAGCTGGATGCGGCATGAAAATCCACGGTGATCATTAATTACATTCAATAAAATTATAAATCCACGCGATCATATTTTCCCGTAATATCTCATCATGACAAGAAATATTCATCCAAGCGGTAATGTCGCTAGTTAACACGCACAGTTAAAGTTATTTCTTGCGTCCCGTGCTTTGCAGCAATAATGCAATGATCCGGGAATACGTATCTAGCGATAAATTATTTAAGCCAATCTATAGAAGAAAATCCGCAAAATCACTTGTCAAACTCTTCTCGGATTTCCGCGGATAAGCATGGCGCGCGGCTTGTGCCGCACGTACTCCCGTATGCGCATGTGATGGATGATATCGGGGGTATTACGATTCAGGGACAAAGCAAATAAACACTCTCTCCCGCTAAGCGACACACTACACCCATAATACAGTCCATTGTTTCGGTGCCAACCGCAACGCTGTGACGCCGGGCCGTAAGCGGTTAAGTTTTATGGATGCTGACAGATGATTTCCTCTGCTGCGCGCTGCTGCCAGCGCTTTATGTACTAACTCCATGGGCATCGATCATGCACACACACTCCGCATCCTGTACGAGCCTCGTGTACGTCGTAAATATTCATTACGGTGTGTAGAGTGTGTAACGGCTCGGTGCTGGGGTGCCGGGTTTATGAGTGGCGGGACATGGTGGATAACGCGCTGGACAATAATGCGCCTAATGAACTCAACTTACTCAAGTACGGTTGACGCCCGGGACTGACAGTGGATATAAGGCAGTGGTGAGTCATCAGGCTGCGTCGTGAATGTGTCCACTGGAGCCGGCAGAAACCGTCAGGGTGGGGAGCTGTAGATACTGACGAATGCCAATACAACCATTACTTCCTTATCAGAGTGCGGAGCGGACGGGTCTGTGCAGATAGCATTAATTTTATTAAGGGATTTGGCCCGGTACATAGCACCAAATTCATATACATCCACGGCACTTTTCAAAGTCGCGCACTCCCAAACACGTTTTTTGCATTGCTTTATGACATTTTGTAGCCAAAGGATTCGTATGCATAGGCGAAAAAACCGTTTGTACTCGCAACATCCGGTTCGGGAGTTATTAGTGAACTAAAATTCAAAAGTTTAAACGCGCGGAGGTGTACCAAAAGTCTCATTATGAACCGATGCTCTTCAAATTTTCCACGAAAACGCACATTACTACGAAGATCTAAACGTCGTAATAGGTAACTCGGAGCCAGGTTTCCATCAGGTTTCAAAAGTTCAAAATGCATTTCGAAATTCTAAACAAACTGTTAGTGTTTTGCTTCTGCGCCAAACCTTTGCCTACACCGTACACCATGCCGCAAAAACCCTGCAGAAAAGTTGATCTGGGCAAGGTCCACGTTCAAGTACGAGAATTTGGTATCGGGTAATTTTTTCCTTATGAAAGTTGGCCAAACGTTAGAAGAGCCAGTTATGGTATAGTACTGATGCATCTACGGAATACCGGCAAAGAAAGGTGTTCGTCCGTACAACTTATGCCACGAATTTTGAAACACGAGGTACCTACGGGAATAAAGGACGCCCTGCGGCGCGTGTATGCACCTGCAAATAAATTCAAGGGCAGACACACTCTGATTTTCCTGTGTGCTTCACGTTGTGCGAGCGGCTATAGTATGGAGAGCCGAAACTGCTGCCAAGAACAGCCACACCATCGGTAGAACTCTGAAATATACTTCCTAGTTCCCACGTAAAACGGGGAGCACTTATAGTACGGCATGGATTGGTCCCATAGGAAAAAGGACGGACGAATGCTGACTCAGAATGTGATGTTGACCGTGCACGAGGGATTCAGCGCAGCTTCGCTGGCAACATGAGAGAAACGGTTCTGCCTTCACTAATAATTTTCTTTCTGCCTTCAAGAGACGTGTCGCCGGCGATACGCTGCTGCAGTGCAGGGTAATGGTATGCAAGACTAGCAGCAGTACGGCAGTAGCCATGATATCACGCGATGTATTTACTACTGTAAACTTTAGACAGACGAATCTAAGCTACTCTTTTGTTTACCAGGTGTTAAACTTTCCTAACAAAGCTGAACTTACAGAAATGACAGCTTTTGATAATAAAAACTTCCTCTATTGGACTTTTGGTTCTGAGGCATACACATTAATAAATTTTCATAAAAACGCGAGAATAGTAACAGGAAGTAGACCGGGTGCAATGGAGAAGTACGGATCTTCCACGTATTCTACTGTAGTTTCTATGTTTCAAGAATTTTACTTTTCAACAAATCCGATTTGCTCTAGTGTTACAGAGAAGGGAAAAACAATTAAAAAGGCAAGTCTTGCGATCAGCAGCTATTGAAATAGTTCGCCGCGTGTGGGTGTTGTCGGTAACCGGTGCGCGGCGTGCAGAGTATGGAACCATGTACTGAATTTAAGTGAGCAGAATGTGAGAAAAATGAATGTATCACTGGAGTCTTTTGGAGGCTTCTACAGGAAAGCGGACTGATACGGTAGCGGGACAATTTCGCGCCTGCCAATCAGCACCGGAACGTCTACAGCGAATTCGGAACCACGACGGTCATTCCTAGAAATACCGCCGCAAAAAGCAAGTGAGGTTTTCGAACTTTTATCACAAAAAAAATCCAAAACCGCTTTTTGCTGATAGTTGCGCTTTGCTTTTCCTAAATTGATTGATCTGTCGCCTTTTTGTCTGTTACTTTTACACTTTATTGATTTGCAGCTTTGATAAATTTTTCAGTACATTTTTACTCCTGCAGTATGAGGCCGATCGTCTAACAGAATCAACGTAGGGTGAATTCCACATCTTTTCTGACGTCTGTGGTTTTTACTCCTTATCGGCCTAGAGTAGCGGTACTTCTCGGTACTCCACTTGTAAATCTGGTTGGTATTGTGTCCTTATAAAATGCTGATCGCAGACGTCTTCATGTTTGGCGGTATCAAGCCGCTTTTTTCTACATACTTAGGCGGTTCAAGTTCAATGTATTAATCCGAGTATTCTCTCCGGCCCATCCAAACCGGAACAATTTTGCCGATCGGGACTGAATGAAACCAAAAACAAAACTTGATCTGAAATGCGTGAAACACGACTGAAAATCGCGTTAGACCGAAATTACTGATATTTTTTAAATTCCCGTGATTTTTTAAGAATATTGTAACTGTAGCAGATAAAACACGGTAATTATTTTATGAGTACACGAATACCGTACTAGTATGTGTTTAACGGGGAAATTATTTTTTTTTATTTTTAGATTTTCCGTTGCTTAAATATTTAGGAAGAGTTATTTGCGATTTCAGTTAGGATATAGAGCATTAAATTTACGGCAAATACAGCGGAATTTATGGTTGGTTTTTCATGGGTAAATATTTAGATGCGCTTGATTTGCCCATACAAACATTACCACAAAAATGCCAGCAAACTAAACAAAAACAACCCAGCGTTGAATTTCCTTCCGGAATGTGCAGCAATAACACACTTATTCATCAACATTACTGGCTACATTATTTTTTAAGTACTACAACAGCGTCGCGTGACACATGTTTTCGAGTAAAACTGCGTAAATCTGCGCCCAGGTATGATTGTTACGGGTACATGACTGTATCATTGCAGCGTTTTTCACCGTTTCCTGAGAAACAAGGAAGCCGTGAGCCACACACCGTACACAGCACACACCACGCAGCACACACACACAGAAAGCTGTACTAGTGTCGTAAAACCTGCACTGACTGCATAATACACGTACTTTTAACACGTTAACACGCTGTTATTACACATTTTTACACGGATCAGGTGTTTTTATGAGGTGCAATTTGCTGACAAAATACCCGAAGAAAAGCACGGTCCATGTAATCGCTCGGGACACAATCAGGGTGTTAACTAACGCGTCGAATTATCCGTAACCGAGTTTTTATTATTCCAGCACGTTACATCGGCCTGCAACGCGCTCCTTTGTTTGTCTATCATCTTTTTGGCGCGACGGCTATTTTGATTGACTGCTGTGTACTGTGCACGGTGTACTGTGTGTAGAGTGCGGTGAATCATTCGTACATGCTGAGGAAATAGCCGATTCGTACAAGCGCATTGTATGGATCCGCATTGAGCGCATTCCTCGGTCAAACCGGTTTGTGAGTGGCTCAGGGAAATAGCCGATTCGTACAAGTGTGTCGTACGTGTGCTGCACCGTGTCCTCATTGAGCGCGTTCCTCGGCTAAACCGGTTTGTGAGTGCCGCAGGGAAATAGCCGATTCGTACAAGTGTGTCGTACGTGTGCTGCATTGAGCGCACTCCTCGGTTGTACGCTCTGTCTGATTGGCATCGCTCAGAGCGGATCAGTCAACACACCTGTACGATGATGATGACTCTGTGTGTGTGTGCACGGCTAGATAAACTTGAAACCTCGTTTTTTTCACTGTTTCAGCAGCAAAACGCGTTGATTTTTCCCATCAGGGCGCACTTAGCCGAGCCGCTGTGTATACCGTGCTGTGTTGACTTTGTGTGCGTAAACTACCTGTAATCGGATCGTCTGTATGTGCAGATCGCCTGCATTTTTTTGGCATTCCATTCTTCGAGTTTTTGCATCGCCGTAATGTAGGCGCTGACCGATCGCTTTTCAATTGATTTTTTTTCTTGATTTATTGGAGTCACTTGTTGCGCGCGCACTGTTTCTCCGTGGGAATAATTTATTTTTACCATGGCGCCGGATTACGAGATGAAAGATGTTACGAATCCACCGCCACCTTATCTGGCCACGGTAAGCCACATTTTTCCCAACTTAAAAATTATTCCTTGCATTTTCATTTTTTTCCTGAATTTTTCCCTTTTAATTTATTTTTTTATTTAAAAAAAATCATTTTTGTTCTGAAGCTGATTACAACAACTTTTTAAATTTAGTTTCCTTCGTGTATTTAACAAGAACAGCGAATAGGGTCACCTTCCGCTTTTGCGTAACAATGCCACCACTTTTTATAGCTTCCTGATAAAAAAGGAAAAACATTCCATTGACTAACATTTATGTAGCGAATTTCCCAATAAAAACGGAAAACCGGTTGTTTCCTGTATCGTGTCAACCTGTTTTTCGCGTCTACCGCGTCACTTGATTGATAGCCGCTAAGTGTGCAATCAGCCTGCCGGCAATCAACAACTGAACTCGCCGAATTCTTGTGACCCTTCCTTACATTTTCGCTGCACGCTTTTTTTGTGATTAATGCAGATTTCCAGTTATTACTAATTTTTTGCGATATAAACACACAAAATTAGAAAGACTGGATTTCGCCGAAAGCGACACAAATTCAGTGGAAATTTGGTCTGGACTGAAACCTTTTGTCTTCTACATAGAGTTCTTATGCAACGCTTGGTCTTTGTCACATTACGCAGAATTCATCCGTGGTCATTCCGATCCCGGATCTCGCGTCACAACCGTCATTTTTTCCTGCTGATTTCTGGTGATTTCAAAAATTCTTTTGTGCCGGCAGGGAATGCGTAAAACAACACACGCATCACACATTCTGTTTTCGTAGTTTTTCCGTCATTTCTAAATTCCGTTAACGAGCGTTCTGGTCTGATTGGCAAGCGCAAAATAATCGGATTTTTCGGCGGCTTACGCCACATGACGTACACTCGCTTTTCCATAAGAAAGGAATTTTATCTGTAAAAAACAACAATCGGCATAATTATTACGATCATCCAGGTGCTTTGATATTGTACCGACAATGCCGTGTCCGCGATTTTTGTCAATTGCCGAGCGCGTCAGTCAGCCGGCGGTGACGCGGCGCAATTTATTCATGCTTATCGCGAGGATCTCGTGAAAAATTAATTTTATGATTATTGCTGCCAAATTCGCTGTTCATTAAAATGCGCAGCGCACCCGTGGCGGTTTATCGGATGACAGAGAATTTTTTTAAAAAAACCGGCAGAGGAAGAATTATGATGAATAATTCCTCGGTTATAGAGGTGCGGCACGATGATACTCTACCAAAGAATTACGCATATCTCTGTACCTGTTCAGGCGAAGAAAAACCTTTACTGAATTCCCAGTAGAACATTTTTCCAAATTTCTTAAAGTCACCAGAAACTGGGATAACTGTTAAACTCCACAAACACAGGCGGACACAAGATATCGTTAGAAAACATAAGCAACATGTACAACGCATCGTAGTGCAGTGGCTACACCATTTCCTGAGAGCTGTCGAAGTCAACACTTAAATTCAATTTGGCAACGCAAATGTCAAGTTATTACTTTATCGTTAATTTTTTCTGGCTATAAACCTATTGAAAATCAGTAGTTTATTGTAAGCTTTTTTTGCAATTGTGAACCGGGTCTCTTATCTTCGATCGAAAAACAGAAAACTGTTTTGCTGCATTTTTCTACGAGTACAAACCTGATGGTTTTTAAATGCTTTGTATAATAAAAAATAAAGTAACGTATTTTAAAATATTAAGGACAATACGGATTAATTCCAAAATTAATTCAGTCATTCCGCTTCGGAAAAATTAATTTTAATAACGGGAATATAGATTTATAAAGAAACAACGATTGTAAATTTTGAAACCCACGGTACGGTTAAATCTCTATGTTCGATTTGCAGCCGGAGAAGAAGACGCCACTCTGGAAGCAATGGATGCGCGATTACGTGGACTCCTTCAAGCCGATGCACCGCCCCGAACACCCCCACGCTCACCTCCCCACGGTGACCGGGCAGACGGCGGCCGGCGATCCGGAGAAGCACCCGGACGTCACGCCACCCTCCAGCGGGAGTATCGGCCTGAAGCTGGTCCTTAAGAACCGTCACATGCAGATGATCGCCATTGTAAGCCAACCAATAACAAAATAAATTAAATATTCTGGTTAATAAATAAAATCAAAACAAAAACATGAGACCATAATTAACATGAGACCATAATTAATTAATTAATTATCATGAGACCATAATTAATACTCTGGGTGTTAATTGAAAATTCACAAGCTTAGTTCAAATTAAATTTACTAGAACAACCTTGATTAATTGTTAGTACGAAGATGAATATTTTATGATCGTATAGAAGCAGTAAAGCATTAGTTGTTGCTTCATGCACATTTATAATATTGTTAGAAATTTGGATTATTAAAAATCTGAGTTACTGTACGTTTACACATTGTTTTTGCTTACTTTTATAAGACGAGATGTGTTGTATTACATTGTTCTGCATTTTCGGTTTTTGTTGGAACATTATTTTTTCTGGTCGATTTCTTACGATTATTTTATGTTTTTGTTTCCAACTATCCCAGAATTTTGTAGTACTTACCAAATCATTTGTACCCGAGGCCGAGAAAAATTATTTTTCATGCGAGCGAAATGCGAGGAAAGTGTTGTGGCGGGTTCCTCATGTGAAACTGGTGTTCGATAATAATAATAATAAAAATAATAGTAAACATCGTCTGGTGTGATCGATGTAGGGCGGCGCCATCGGCACCGGTCTGTTCATCGGCTCAGGCGGAGTCCTCTCCGACGGCGGCCCGGCCTCCCTCCTCATCGGCTTCATCCTGATCGGGATGATGCTTTTCAACGTGGTGATGGCGCTGGGCGAACTGGCCGTGTTATACCCCATCGCCGGCTCCTTCAACGTCTACGCCAGCCGCTTCATCGACCCGGCATGGGGCTTCGCCATGGGCTGGAACTATGCGCTGCAGTGGCTGGTGGTCCTCCCGCTGGAGCTCACCGCGGCCGCCATCACCATCGACTACTGGACGGAGAAGAGCATCAACTCGGGCATCTGGATCGCCGCGTTCCTGCTCGGGGTCATCGTTATTAATTTCTTCGGGGTGCGCGGGTATGGCGAAGCGGAGTTTATCTTCTCCATGATCAAGGTGGCGGCGGTCATTGGGTTCATTATTCTGGGGGTGGTGATTGACTGCGGTGGGGCGCCGAAGGGCGGATATCGCGGAGCCGATACATGGTGAGTGAAATTGTGTAAACCAATACTAACAGCATATACTGTATTTTATATTTATTAATTAAGTATATAGCCTGACTAGCGTTTGAATTTGTTCTTATTCATGCATGAATCTTTTTCATATTAATAAAAAAATATCAATATAAAATTTACATTACTAATGAGTAATAATTTATTATATTACAAGTGAATAATTAATTTATTATTTTGTTTATGAATATTATTTTAGTTTTTTAATATTATTTATTTACTTGTCAAATTTTATTCTTTAATTAATTATTATAGAAGTTTTCCATTGATTAAACAAGTATTACTAATTAGTTTATCATTTTATGAGTAAACTGGCGTTAATCGTGTGCATATTACTGGTATTTTGTGGTTGTTTTAAAGGTACGACCCGGGTGCCTTTAACAACGGCTTCAAGGGTTTCTGCGCGGTATTCGTGACGGCGGCCTTCGCCTTCGGCGGCACGGAGATGGTCGGCCTGGCCGCCGCCGAGTCGCATAACCCGCGCAAAACCCTGCCGCGCGCCACCAAGCAGGTCTTCTGGCGCATCACCATCTTCTACGTCATCTCCCTGTTCCTCGTGGGGCTCCTGGTGCCCTATGACCACCCGCGGCTCCTCAACAAGAAATCCGCCTACGACGCCGCCGCCTCGCCCTTCGTCATCGCCATCGAGGACGCCGGTATCAAAGTCCTCCCGTCCATCTTCAACGCCGTCATCCTGGTGTCGGTGTTGTCGGTGGGCAACTCAGCCGTGTACGGCTCGTCACGGACCCTTTCGGCCATGGCCCACCAGGGCCAGGCACCAAAGTTCCTGGGCTACATTGACCGGCAGGGTCGTCCGCTCTTCGCCATCATCCTGGCGTTGACCCTCGGACTCCTGGCCTTCGTCAACGAGAGCGCCCATTCCACCGACATCTTCAACTGGTTGCTGGCCATCTCCGGGTTGTCGACTATCTTCACCTGGATGTCCATCTGTTGGGCGCATATTCGGTTCCGACAGGTGCGGTCTCTTCGAATGTCTCGCTTTCGTTCTTGATTAATAAAACGTTTCATTCGAATCTCTAACTTTCGCTCTTGATTAGGTAATTAAAAGTTTCCTTCGAATCTCTTACAGTTCGTGGGAAATTAGAATATCTTCTAGCTTTCGGTTTCGATCTTCTAGCTTTCGTTTTTTTATTAAAAGAAATTATTATTAAAAGAAATTATTATTTATTAAAAGAAATTATTATTTTTTATTTTTTTTATTATTATTTTTTCCAATCTTTAAATTTCGGTCGTGATTACCGAAAATATATTTCGAAGCTTTAACGTTCGTTCTTGACGTATCAATGGAGACGTTCCTTTGAACCTCTTGCTTTCGTTTTTGGATAACGAAAATATTGATTCGAACTTCTGATTTCGGTTTTTCATTAAAGAAAACTTTTCTTCGGATATCTAACTTTCGTTATTGAATAAGAAAAATTCATCTTCAAACTGTAGTTTTTTCTGGATAAATGAAAGTATTCCTTCGAATTTCTCGCTTTTATCTTTGAACTCTTTTTTCCGAGCCTCTCGCTTTTATTCCTGGTATATCAAAACGTTCCTTTTACGCTCTACTTTCGTTCTTGATTAATGAAAACATCCATGTCCTATCTTTCCAGGCATGGAAAGCTCAGGGTCACACGCTGGACGAACTGCCGTTCCGCGCGACGTTCGGCGTCTGGGGCTCGGTGTACGGAATGGGCTTCAACATCCTGATCCTCATCGCGCAGTTCTACGTGGCCGTGTCGCCGTTGAAAGGCGAACCGTCCGCCGCCGATTTCTTCAGCGCGTATTTGGCCGCGCCCATCGTCTTGGCGTTCTACGTGGTGTGGAAGCTAATCAAACGGACCCCGTTCATGGTGACAACGAAGGGGAATAAAGAGGGCTTCTGGCTCTTCCGCACGGAGACCATCGATCTGATGAGCGGGCGACGGGATCTGGATCTGAAGGAGATCCTGGCGGAGGAGCGGGCGCGGCATGCGGAGCTACCGGCGTGGAAGCGCTTCTATATCCATATTTGTGGTTAAGAGTCCTGGAATGGAAGCGGAATGATCTCGACAGTATTCGGGGTGGAAAAGCGGGGAGGCGCATGTTGTAACTTTTCGAGTTTATATATTTTATCTTTGAACTTTTCTTCTGACTCGAGAAATTTAATTTGCCTTCACTGAAAAGTTTTTAAATGCTTGCAGCAGTTGGTCTGTGACTCTCTCATAATGCCTTCATGTAGAGCTTGATAATATTTATTTTACAAATGGGTTCGAAACGTTTCGAACCGAAAATAGTATCAAGGTCTTAGGTTGGGAATACGAAATCTACAGTAAAACAAATATGACATTAATAAACTTCCGTGAGTCTCACTGAAAATGCTGGGTATTATGGGAACAGAACCTCAACTGTGCTTCTCTTCGACAAATGGTTGCGATTAACCTCAAAGCTTGCTCGAGTAAAGCGATGCCAACTTCTTCAATCAGCCTGCTTCTTTAATCAGCCTCAACCGTGTCCGACCATTTCGGCATGGTGACATTTCGGCATAGGACATTTCGGCATAGGACATTTCGGCATAGGAGATTTCGGCATGAGGACATTTCGGCACGTGGACATTTCGGCATACGGGCATTCCTGCATAATACTGTTGTTTTCTAACGTTTTCTGTTTTAATTCGCTTTATTCAGCCTGCGTAGTGTGGACAGCGTCACTAAAATGCTTGCAATAAACAACATGAAATTAAAAAGCGGCTCCAGTTTTTTTATGTCTCCTTTGTAGTGCTATATCTTGGTATTCTTAGATCTTCTTTGGTTTTCTAGGCTTTCTCAGGTTTGCTTAGGATTCTTAGGTTTACATATATTTTCAGATCTTCTTGGCTTTTCTAAAGTTTTTATCAAATCCTCGCATTTTAACAAACGATTTTTCAAGTTTGCTAATGCATCTTATGTCTTCATGCGTTTCATTAATTTTATAAGGTTTTTGTTTTAATTTTGCTTTTTGGCTTGTTTTAGGTTAGCTAGGTTTTAGGATTTTTACGTTCTCAGTTTTTTTAAATTCTATGCGTATTTCCTTCACTTTCTTAGACTGAGTAAAATTGATTGGCATATTATAGGTTTCTTGCCATGGTCATCATTTTAGTAGCACAAGCTAGTTATCATGCACGAGTTTTACAACGAAAACAGTATTACAGTACGTAACAAAATTTCTTCTAATTTATCCGCCCTTTCCATCATGATTAGGTTTTATCAGTATATACTAAACTTTATGCCGAAATGTCCGTATGCCGAAATGTCCGTATGCCGAAATGTCCTTATGCCGAAATCTCTTATGCCGAAGTGTCCATTGCCGAAATGTCCCTATGCCGAAATGTCGGTACGCCGATTCAACTGTTTGGTGTGAAACGCTTAACAAACTCACATGCTTATGTAACTATCGGGCGAGAACCAGTGCCTCCCTAAACACGCTATTAAACGGCAGTATTAGGAATAAAAGGACTGTCTGTGACTCTGTGTCCACTCAAAAGGATCTCATCTCGGATCAAAAGGATATTTCAGGATTACGTCTGAACGAATGAGCCGAGTTACGTTCCTATCGAGAACAATCTTAAAAAATTTGATGCATCGATGCAGAGGCTCGTAACTCCAAGAGAATCCATCCAGAGTCCAGATCTTGTAGTAAATCTTATACCTAACATGTCTTCTGAGCTATCGTATAAAATAAAAATTTTAGCTGTCGATGAAGAACTGCCCCGACGTAAACTCATTTAGCCGGTGGCACTTCCGGCAGCTTAACCACTGTCCTTCCGAAAATTCAGTTGTTACGTATCACTTCTCTTCTTCTGCACGGTTTCTAATCCAATGTATAATAACAAAGAGTTTGTTTAAATCATAATGGTGAATCGCTTCTAAAGACTTTCTTTAAATCATAATGGTGAATCACTTCCAAACTTTCACATCTTGAAATACGGAATTTGTTTCTACAAGACGTCGATTTTTTTTGGTTTTCCGGTTTCTGGCTATTACGAACTTCCAATTTTTTTCCATAATAAAAACTATATCCTTGGCCCGCCCCAGCGCATACTAGCTATGATTTAGATTTCAGAGCGGAAATGACGCATCTGTTTTGGGTATTGTTGGTTGTTCAAAATAGCTAGAAGAGTTGTTTTATTTGTTTTAGCTTTTGCAGTTGGGTATTTGAGTTTAAGTTTTTAAAGGGCATCTGCTTGTACAAGTTTGAAATAAAATTAATTTAATAAAGTTTAGATTTAGCTACTGAGTAGGCTGTTTACCGCAAATTTTTTTCCCGATTTTTTCGTATTTTTGCAGTCTGGAAACTGACAAGACTAGTTTTTTGGACAACTGTTCGCTAACTCTTTTAATGTTCCTCTAAAAGCAGAAAGGGACGACTCTTTCCTTCTTGATTTCCACTATAAGAAGGCTGAACATTCTGAACTCTCTGAACTGAAGGGAGAATTCTGAACACAAAGATGTTTTGTGATTTTTCAAGTTCGAACTGGGAGAATGTTAAAAATAGTGCAATTTTGTTAGGACGACAGAAGATATGCTGCCAGACACCGGCAAAAGTCTTTTTGCGAATATCTTCCAGCTTCTTTGATCAGAACAGAGATTAAATTTTTTATTAATTACTGTAGACAATGATAGGCGTCAATAACAATAAGGGGGAAAACGGCTAAGTTAGTTTGCCGAGGATAAAAAATAAGGAAAATTTTTTTGGAATGCCCTTTGTATCTACATTGCAGGCAATAGCTACCGCGAACGCGGATCATGTTCAATTTAAGCACGCCTCTTAATTGTACTTACGTTTGCAACTGCAGTCTGCAGATAACTCGAATCTGGTTACTGCAGGTCTCATAAAATAATTGAGGAAAGTACGGTATTTCAAATTTAAATGATTGTTTAGCAAATTGTTTTAAATTAACGAAAATATCGTGAGCTCTTTTGCAATTACAGCGGTCAAAACTACGGTAGGATGTAATTTGCTTCGATTATAAACTTCCTTAAGATAATTTCAGGCAAACTATAATACGAAAGTTAATTGAATATCGCGCATCCTTTTGGTAATTCTTTTTAATCACAAGTTGCAACTGATGTTCGCGCCCAATCACAACTTCTTTTTAGCGTGGAGACTGGATTCCCAGAAGGCGGTCTTGTTGAGAAGCAGATCCGTTATTACAGATATTATATCTTACAGTATCTGATATTATATCTGTAATAACGGATCTGCTTTTTCAATAAGAGATATTATAATATTTCGGCGTTTCGTTCGGTTGGTCAAGTGACCAAATCGAGTTTGGCATTCGAAGGCTGCATCTGCAAAACAAATAAAAGTTGGCCGAATCATTTTTTTCACCGCATCGTACGTCCTGTACCACGTTCCTGTGAGGCTGTGACCCTGTCATGTGTCTTGTATTAGGACTGTAATTTCGATTTAGGTAATTTGCAGTGTGCCGATGTAGCGCACGGCGACTGCATACGTAGTTCATAGCACAAAACGTCTAAACTGCACGTACAATTCAACATACCTAAGCTAAAACCATCGAAGTGTACTTCTATCCGTAAAAGGGAAAATTCACGAGAAAATTGAACCGATAAACTGCGCACATATTATATAAGTACAATCTTTACACCCACAAAGAATATAGACTAGCGCATAGCTCACCTTCAGCACAAGGTTGATTTTTTCTCTGTTTCCGGGTAAGAGAATAGATGCTTGGTTGAATGCTGTTGTTTTGACGATTTTTTTCAATGTTGGCTTCCGGGGGACTGTCAGTTGCAGGTGACTCGATGTTGGGACCAAATACTGAGCTGGGTCCAAACTATTTTACAGTTCAACCAAGGACAACAAGTTACTGGTTAAACTGTAAGTTAGTTTGGTCCCGATCTATGTATTACATTCTCCTTCCACACGTCTGGAATCGGAAAAGTAAGGAAAAAGGAAGGGGAAAACAGAGTTATATTAGGACGAGGAAAATTTCTAAAAGGTCACGTGAGCAGTTGAACCCAACGTTTTACTCTACTTACCGAATCGCCACTTTTCTCAGCGATAACGGTGGATGGTGCTGATCACGTAAAAGACGCTAAGTGCCTCAACATCGTAGTAGAGTGACACACAAGTATAATGTCGATGTATGCAAAGCTAAAAAAATCAATTTCGACAAACGGAATTCCAAAAACTGTAAACGCTTTTAAATCCGAGTGCCATGCTGTTACCACAGGAGACCTTGAGGTAAAAGTGACTGCTTTCCTGGATTCGAACGGCAGGTATTTTTCAGCCATATTTTCTCCATGAAGTATGAGTACTTTCGTAGTACAAAACATAAACACATGCTGCCCCGGAGTTCTGACACCAGGCATATTATTTCACTAATGTTACCGGTAGGCGGTATGTATCTGTACTTGAGATGAGTGCCCAGATGTATACTCAGCATAACAAGAAGTCTGATGAAAGCAGTTTGTTTCAAGTGCTTTTCCATGTAGTCCGCATATACTGGGTATGAGATAGGGCGGCGGCATATTCAGACGGCTGCGGAAACACCTCGCGTAAGTACCTACAAGAAATCCAGTAAAATGCACGGCAGCGTTTTCCTGTAAAACGGAATGCGCATTTCATGTTAACGTATATGATACGGATACATTAAGCAATAATCATAATAAATGTAGTAATGATGTTGAATATTTTCGTGCAACGGAGCGGCGCCTCTCACAAATCAACGGAAGGCGACGTGGAAACAAAAACGATTTTAAAGGACGAAATAATAACACCAGTGACAAAGTGACCAATAAAAAAAACGAAGAAACAAGATTTATTTATGCGCGCCACAAAATTCGAAAGTGAGCAGTAAAGCAAAAGATAAGTATTATCCATATGGCTGCACAGGTGCGCAGATCTTGACGATTAAATTGATTTTCATTTAAAAAATCGTTATTCTTACCGGTACCTAGCACTATCTTTATCTAAATAACATGTAACAAAGCATAAAAAGAATTTGGCGCGAATTTAGCTACATTTAAATGCATTTAATCATGATAAAAACACACTTTGCTGGTCCGGTTGCAAAAGGTTACATCTGGTTTGCCATATGTTTGGTTCGGCTCGTATAGGAAGCGCGTTCACTTTTATATCGCACAATGAATTTATTATGGAACAAATTTCACAAACTATTAAAGGGTTTTCCATAGTTTTATCGGATCAGAAGCACAACTGCGCTTCCAACTAAACCGTACGGTATAAATCTCTGTTTTAGGCGTAGCAGTATTGCAACCATCGTTTCACAGAAATGACGAAATAAGTAGATTCTTCAAAATGACTGCTCTTCCGAAAATCAAAAACTGGGATAAGAAGATGTCGACTACTCAAAAATCCAATCATTGATGGTATGTTATGATTTATTAATCGACTATTATGACTTTTTTATTATGATAATTACGATTATTATGATTCAATAATTTTATCCATCTGTTCAGGTCGAAGCTATGCCTATAACTGCACGCGAGCTGTGTGACTGAGTTTGTCGTATCACATTACGGAAACAAGTGAAAACCAATTTTTCTCCACCCTGTTTTACATTCTCACCATATTGTGCCCAAATTCACCGCAACCCACTGTTTTAGTTAAGATGCCTTAAAAATGAAAGAAATCCAATAAACCAAAGAACGCCACGCGACGAATAAAAATTCGATTACGAGCTCGCTTCCGGTGGGCGTAGTTTCGCTTATAGGTCTAGCTACGTGCGGGAGCGCTACCCACACACAGTCTTGAGGCGTTCTTGAGCGTGGTTACCGGCGTTACCACAATGTCATAAGACCTGGGTAAAACGATGTTAAGAATCTTGTCATTTTCATGTTGTAACCGTCGGCTTATATAATAGAATGTTTCAACTGACACTCGGTGATCCTGATGACTAATCCGTGACATCACAATTATATATACAAAGGACATTCCAAAAATAATTTTCCCTATTTTGTATCTCCCGGCATTAACGCATTCACCTAATATCATCCATATCGTTACAAACGTCCTTCATTAGCAAAATGTATAAAGAAATTATTTTGTTTAATTATAATCAAATGGTAAAGAAATGCCAAAAAAAACACCACAGGGTTTTCAAAGTTTTTCACGTGATTTTCCCGGACAGTTTTTGCTATTTTTCGCAATCTTTCTGCTCATTTTCCTTGATGCATAAAATATACTTAGATTAAGAATTCTTTTCTCTTACAAAATAAAGTTCTGAACAAAATGTCCCATTCAAACCACGTTTCTAGAAAAATAAGAACTGCTCGGGACTAGTTGTCAAAATCAGAAAGCATCGCAGCATCCAGACGGTAAAAATCAGAAAATTTCATGAAAATTTTGCTGTTGTCGGTGGAATGCAAACTTTCTTGGCATCTAAGATGCGCACGACTGGCCATAAAATGTGCTTTTTATCGATGGGAAGCATCATGAATTTATGAAAGCGAAACGACTGGAATAAGGGAGTTTCGGTGTCTTATGAAAAAAAATGTTTACTTTTAATCCTGAGCTTTTCAAAATGTTCTGCCATCGCAGTAATATCAAGTACTAAATTTGCAGTCGACACTTTAATTTTTTTGTTGAAAACATTGCCTGGTCAGAAGTGGCAATAAAATGAATAATTTTCCAAAAAGGTGCTGAAAAAAGTGCAAAAGCAGCATTCACCATTCCGTTTTTCGTTTGGCAAGTTCTTCTTCGATTCTTTTGATTCTTATTTCTTTAGATGGTTTACATAATGGTTTATCCAGCAAAATTATACCATTTGTGTATAACCTAAAATCGCAGGGAGACAGAATAGGGAAAATTATTTTTGGAATTTCCTTTGTACATTAACATACATACAGAGTACATGCAGTAGCGTACGGTGACAAAAAATAAAAAAAATAATGCCATTTTTGTTAAGTTCGAAACGTGCTATCGATGTTGCAGTGCCACGATGCCGGAGCCCGGAGGCATTCAGTTTAATACAGTGCTGACTGCTGAGTGAAAGATTAGACGCTCGTTACAGTCATAATAATTATGTATTGACAGTATTATAAACTTGTACTATCCTATATATTAAAGCAGAACCGTTATTCCGGAACGCTCCTGCCTCCAAAACCTTCTGATTGGCCAGAAAAAACCTTACGTTTCTGATTGGCCGGAACTCGCCTAGCAACTTTTAAGCTTTTGCAGCCCCTTAACCCTGTGCTTTTACGCCTTTGTCCTTACTGAGTATCCGAAACTTAGTTTCATCACCTGTGAAAACCTTCGCCTGATAAACCGGATTCCACCCTTATCTATCTCTACTCCTTACTAAGCTTCAAAACCATAGTTCTTTAACAAACCTGATAACTTTAATTACTTTAACAAACCTTGCGGTCCCACCTTTTAAGCGTTTGGTAACCGAAGGCCACGCGTGCGGTACCCGCCTTTTTGAGCCATTGGTCACCGAATGCCACGCGAGCGGTATCCGCCTTTTTGAGACTTTGGTCACCGAAGGCCACGCGTGCGGTACCCGCCTTTTTGAGCCATTGGTCACCGAAGGCCACGCGTGCGGTACCCGCCTTTTTGAGCCTTTGGTAGCCGAAGGCCGCGCGTGCGGAACTCACCCAAAAAGACGCAGCTGACCTGAATCGCCTTTGCACTGCAGCGCGGCGCGTAAGCGCCGCGCGCTGTGCTTGTTTAGTATTATTTTACATTCCTGATAGGCTACAGCCAACGAAAGCTTGTAACAGTGAAGTACATTACAACAGGCAACAAATTCGCCCCATGGCGCTGTGTATGTACAGGTACTTGTTCATAATAATTATTACAAGCAGGACGCGCGGCGCTTACGCGCCGCGCTGACGCGGCCCACGGTTACAAACGGCTTAAAAGTGTGGGTCTAAAGGCCATCAGTGACCAAAGGCTTAAAAGGCCTTCAGTGACCAAAGGCTTAAAAGGCCTTCGGTGACCAACGTACCACCCGCGTGGCCTTCGGTGACCAAAGGCTCAAAAAGGCGGGTACCACGCGCATGCCCTTCGGTGACCAAAGGCTCAAAAAGGCGGGTACCACGCGCATGGCCTTCGGTGACCAAAAGCCAAAAAAAAGCGGGTACCGCACGCGTAGCCTTTCGGTGACCAAAAGCTAAAAAAAAAGCGGGTACCGCACGCGAGGCCTTCAGTGTCCAAAGGCTCAAAAGGGCGGGTACCGCACGCGGGGCCCTCGGTGACCAAAAGCTCAAAAAGGCGGGTACCACGCGCGTGGTCTTCGGTGATCAAAGGCTCAAAAAGGCGGGTACTACACGCGTAGCCTTTCGTGACCAAATGCTCAAAAAGGCGGGTACTACAGGCGTAGCCTTTCGTGACCAAAAGCTCAAAAAGGCGGTTACCACGCGCGTGGTCTTCGGTGATCAAAGGATCAAAAAGGCGGGTACTACAGGCGTAGACTTTCGTGACCAAAAGCTCAAATGGGCGGTTACCACACGCGGGGCCTTCGGTGACCAAAGGCTCAAAAAGGCGGGTACCGCACGCGTCGTCCTCGGTGACCAAAGGCTTAAAAGGGCAGGTGCCGACTTCGGTTACTAAAGGCTTAAAAGGTGGTACCGCAAGGTAAATAAAGGCTTAAAAGACGGTACCGGTAAGTTAATTAAAGTTATCAGGTTTCTTAAAGAACTAATGTTTGGAAGCTTAGTAAAGAGCAATGCTGAAGCTGGGATCCGGTTTATCAGGCTAAGGTTTTCACAGGTGAAGGTTCACTTCGGCCGCGTTACATTTCGGCCGCACTGGTTCACTTCGGCCAACGTTCATTTCGGCTGAGGCTCACTTCGGCCAGCACTCATTTCGGCCACCGCTCACTTCGGCCAGCACTCATTTCGGCTACCGCTCATTTTGGCAACAGGATGTTTGGCCATCTTATTTCCCAAGTTTTCCTAGCTTTTGTCATGTTGCATAGGTTTTCTTAGGTTATCTTCGGTTGATTGGCTTTCTTAGGGTTTCTTATGGTTTATTTAACTTTCTCAGGTTGTTTTCAAGTTATTCTTAGGTTAGTTATTCTTAGGTTTTCTAACTTTTCTAATGGTTTATTTAGTTTTCTTAGGTTTTCTTTGGTTATTGTTAGGTTATTCGAAAGATTACGGTATCGAAACGTAGTTACATCGAGAAAAACGTTTTCTTGCATAAATTAGACCAAAATAAGCGTCGGCCGAAATGAACTGCGGCCGAAGTGATCGGCGCCCGAAGTGAACGGTGGCCGAAAAAGCTTGGCCGAAATGAAAACGGCCAAAGTGATCGGTAGCCCTAAGTTTCGGAAACTTGGTAAGGACAAACGCGCAAAAGCACAGGTTTAAGTGGCTGCAAAAGCTTAAAACCCGCTAGGCGGGTTCTGGCCAATCAGAAAGGTTAGGCTGGTTCTGGCCAATCAGAACGTTTTGGAGGCAGGAGCGTTCCGGAATAACGGTTCTGCTTTAATATATAGGATTTCTTGGTGTACTAAAACACAAGCTCGGAAGTCGTACAACTACCGCTACTGAAACAGCGATCGGAAGAAAAACAGCCGGTTGTTCTCGCAACCGGCATTTCGTAACACCGATCAGCACCGAGTTCTTGTTGTGTACAGTACGTTTGGCACAGTACTTTAGTCAGCCAGATAAAGATAGTCAAAGATCGAAGTTGTGCTTCGGACAAAACACCGCTTAAAGTGCTGTGCTGACCCGACTTAGCCATGTTTACTGCCGATAAACGTGTTTCTAACGGCATCAACATTGGCTTGGAAGGAAATTCTATGCTGCATCGTAATATTATGGAGCTGCCTGATGGATCATGGCTCACAGTTTGTTCACGCTCTTGATTTGGTTATCGGCGAAACCGTTTCCCAACAAAAGTCCCAGCATCCCTGCTGTCAGTCTAATAAAATTTAATGGACACAAGACATTGTAGTATCTGTAATACGAATAGATCGTTGCCTTTTGATCAGTGATTCAGTACCCAACATAATTTTATCGATACACAACAAAAAGCGCAGTTTTCTAAGGAGTGCGAGACGATGATGTGTGTGCCCATTTTGATCCTACTGCATTTTGTATCAGTGTCGCTCGGGGACAACTATCAGCTGTTCGTTACTCGGCCGGAAGTACGGACCAATCCACAGGACGGCATAATCGACGTTACTGACAATCTGGAGACACTAATACTCGATATTGCCAAGGATATGAGGTAGTGTGCTGTAGGAATGTAATTCCTGTGATTCTACTTTCACGATACATAATGCAGTTTGCTACCGTCTATGATGCCCCTTTAGGTACCACAGTATCCGTGATTCCGTCTTAGATTTGATTGCGATTATTTCGCTCTCGTTTCTGTTTCCGCTGAGCGTGGCGCAGCTTTCTGCGATAGAATAAATACTGATTAAAACGCGTATTATATTTAGCGTAATAAATAATATAATTATATTATTATTACACCTATATTAAGATATAATATTCAGCGTAAATGATGAATGGCCTTGGATTTTTGTTTGTCGAAAGTTTCTGGAAGAGGTGTTTTAACCTGCAAAAGGCGTTAATTTCGAAGGCAGTTTAATTCGGAGTTTAAGGCAGCTAACGTTAATTTGAATATCCCCATATTTCTTTCTTCTTGCCATGGATTTCAGAAGATATCCAATAGATAAGGATTCATATATCTCTGCGCCCTTTTTATTGGGCACATCTCTTCTTCTTCGAGGTTCTTAGGTGCCAATGTGCACCTGCTGTTTTAATTATTATCGAATCAAATACCAAATTGATTTCAGTAACTAAATAACCGAATCATGGTTTATTCTTCCAGAGCGGAGATCCCAGATAAGCTAGTAAACCAGACGGTATCGAAGCCGCCGCTTTACTCGCCATCCTCTGAAGCACCCCAGCGGACCGCGCTCCCGACTAATCCCAACCACACAGCCGCCCTGGAAACTCGCGATGATCAGAGGAGTTTTCTAGATAGGGCAGGTTTCTGGCCGACTGTCCGGAAACAAAGCAACTGGGCTTCATTCTGTATGGGAGCTTTAATGGGATTCTTCGTAGGGATTACGCCTTTTGTGTTGGGTGAATTTTAACCAGTAAACTTTGATTGTGACTGTCAAACAGTACTTTTTTAATAAACGCACATGCCATTCTCTTAAAAAAAATTTAATTAAAAATTTTGAAAATTTCGTACCGGAAAAAAGTTTGACGAAATTGCAGGGTCACAAGCCGGGTCAAATACATTTGGTGATTTCAACTGGTACCATGGCTAACGATTTACAATAATACGTTTTGATGGTTTTGGTAGCTAACAAATTTGTCAATAAACTGAATCCAAACAGTCTGCAGTGTGACAAGCGGGTCTCGAGAAACGAGCCAAAAACGGAGATCGCCGTTCTAACGACCCATCCGTTACTACGATTTTTTTATGCCAGAACGTATTATGCCGGAATTTGATTATGGCGAAATCTTTTTAAGCACAATGATAATCTCGAAATTTCTGCAGTTGCGCACAGGCGCGGAGAGTTTCGCTCTAGACCTCGCGCACTCCAAAACGCTTTTTTGGTATTTTTTTATGACAATGTGTAGCAAGATAATTTGTATTATTATATTGGCTAGAAAATCGTTTGGCGAATAATACTCGGTTGGCCTGTTGTCATAAATCTAAAATGCTCTATAATTCAAAGCATCATACATATAGAGTACATACTCCTCACATAATAATATTATGTACACAGTAAAAGTACCACTAACGTAGCACTGCACGCAGTGTCGCGCGGTACTTTGTAATTGAACTGTTATTCTTACAATTAGTGACGCCCTTCTGTCACCGGTATCTGCAGGCATTTACCGCTTCCCAGTTGTCTTGTTATACCGTCCCGGCGGGTTATTCTAATTAAAAGCTGATTGTATTCCGGTAATTCCTGTGCGAGAAAACTTGTTTACTGGCATAAGGTCCAATGAATGCCGCTCGCTCCTCGGCACATGCGTGTAAATAGCCCCCGCGCTATGACATTCTCCACTTTACCAGTTACACTCCACTCTGCAATGAAAATTGTTCTCCTGGACTCAACGAGATGTCCCATGTTGTTCTTCCAGAGACCACGAAGGCCTCATTTATCTTAGCCAACTTGGTATCTCTGCTCAGTTATAAAGTTTGTCCATCCGGGGAGCGTTTGAATATTACTGCTGTTTCACCCGACGTACTGCGCAAATGTTTCCCGGTTCCCGGACAGAGCCGGAGACGACGACAGGGAGCATTATTTGGTCGCCAAAGGATTTGTATGCATAGGCGTGGAATCCGTTTCCGAGCGCAACATCCGGCTGGAAACTAATGGGTGAATCAAAATTCCAGAAAGTGTATATGCTTTCCAGTGTACCAATATTCTCATTATAAACCGATCTTCTTCAAATTTTGCATGTCAGCGCGCATAAACATCAAGATTGTTTTTACGCCGAATCAAAATTGCACCATTTTTTCGAATTTTAAAATTTCATCCAAAAGTTTGCAAAAAATGGAAAAACATTTAGAAACAAAAAAAATGTTTAAAATGCATATTAACATTTTAAAAAATGGTCAAACTCTGGTTCGGTGTAAAAACGATCTTCATACTAATGTGCATTTACGTGCACAATCGCTTGACCATCGGTTTATGATGTGACTATTGGTACACCTGAAAGCATTTAAAAGTTTCTGGAATTTTGAGTCACCCCTAACTTTCCAATCGGATGTTGCGCGCGCAAACGGGTTCACGCCTACGTATACAAATCCTTTGGCTGCAAAATACCATAAAGCAATGCAAAAAAACTGTTTAGGAGTGCGCGACAGTGAAAGTCACCGTGGAGTCGTGGACGCAGATAAATTTGGTACTATATACCGGGCCAAATCCCTTAAACAAATAACAATAACTCAAAATTTTTTCCATGAACACAGTAATCAGTAATTAATGTACGTTTACATTATGGAGAGCGTTTTCATCACATCTACCAGCAGCGGTAACCGGCTTAGAAACAACACTCACCGTCATGCGTTGGTGTATGCTGTTGCCGTCACCCGAGATACACCCTCATGACTCTCGGGTGCGCTGATTTTTTAACGAACAGTACGCTTGGACTTTGGCAGCTATGATAATGCACAAAATTCATTAACCCTAGTCCCTGTATAATCAAGAATTCAAGGTAAACCTAAATAATTTTCGCCGAGCAACCGCCGACTGACTGATACTAACCTTAGAAGTGTACAAAAAAAGAATTATGTGTACCCACAGACCATTCTTACTAACAAAAACTGAGTAAAATAACCAGCATCGTCCCCATCAAAATGTTTACTTATTTCTACTGTACGATCGAGTATGATTAAATTTCACCGAAACGAAATCATTTCGTATTTCTAGATGTTGCCAGTTCGAGAAATACATCAGGCATCCCAGGGCGGCAGCCTGCTATTACAAGCCCATGGTCAAACGTTGCATTTGTATCCTCTGGGGTCACCAGGCTTTCACCAGATCTACGGCATAGATCGGCGTTATCTGCCATACGCGTGGAGATGTAGGGGGAATATTGGATGCAGGTTGGAGTTGTGTGCAGTATCGCTAAATTAAAGAAGTCGGTGTTTTCGCTCTGTGGAGTCTGTGCCAGTCGGACCGTCGGCCACGCACGACTGCAATATACTACGACTAATAATATTGATATTATTAATATTAATTGTACGAGTACGTAAGTACGTACGATACGCACTACTGGACAGTCGGCACAGATTGCCCGACTGGCGACGTGGCTGCTTACGTGGCTGTGGTGACGCGTTCATGCCTGCCTCGTGCCTACGTATAATATTATACGATTAATCGGGGAAAAAGCAGCATCGTATATACTCGCTTAAGCACGCGTCAGATACATAAATTACTAACAACTAACAAGCAACAAGTAAAAGTTCTGATGAGTTGTAAATTGAAATCATTTGCAAAATCTGGATGACGAATGACGTTTATGCAGTTATTGTTAATATCATTCTGAATATTAAGAAAAATCTGATACTGCGTGGACAACAAAGTCTTACGGATTTGGAAATCGGAGCTTTTAGGCCATGCTGAATGTAATATCAGCGCCCGAGGGTCCACAAAGAAAATCGGAGTATGATAGTCCCTGTTTGTGCTCTGGATGTGGTGTATCGCGAAAGGTAAAAAATTTAAAACTGTGAGCGGAATCGGAATTTCCTTAAATCTATTTCTAGCAATGTTCTAGCAGTGGAACCGCTTGCTGGCTTTGCGAAACGCGAGAAAGTAACCCTTTATTGTATTTTTTTAATTTTTATTAAATGAATTTAAAATGTTTGCAAAAAATTTAGGCATAAAAATTACCCTATTCCGAAAAGCACATTTTATGTTGCGCACTCATGCGCGAAGTTAATTCGCTGGGATGATCGGACACTGAGAACCCGAGAACCCAAAAGGCGGTGAAATATTCTGCTGTAGAAACTACTAGAAATTTTCCTGTAAGTAAAATTAAAGTAATTATTATTTAAACTAGTTCAATTTGCCTGTAAAGCAGGAGACTAGGATAAAAAGTACGTACATAATTTTCAAATTATGGCGCGAAGCGAACGAGGGATTTCACTTCAAAAATTTCTAGAAATTCCCTGAAAAAGCAGAAATAATTTCACAAAGTAGAAATAATTTCGTGCATCAAAATTTTTAAAGGGCAAGATGTAACGCTACACATGTGTAAATTTAACAGGAATGGTGAAGGACGTTCATTTTCTCCCGAACTTGCTAGAAATTCTGTGATAAATTTCAATTATATTACAGGTTTCTTGAAAAGAACTTCTTGGAGCATGGTTTATTAATAAATGGCTAAATGTCCCAGTAACACTATATTAGTGATCACACCACACTACGCTCATTATTAATTATTAACATATTAATACTGGGTGTGTTGTATTATTTTGTGGAATATGATGATTCGATGAACTACAGTATATATATACTCTATTTCGCACACAGATTTTTAATTTATTTATAGAAGCACAAGAGCAAAGTGCTTTCGCTCGATGCTAGCAGTCGGTTCTCTTCAAAAATCGATAGTAAATCAACAAAAAAACAAGCAGTAAAATCCGTTAACATTTAGCCAATACATGTTTTGTTTGAAGTACCACTTTCTGCATAAAATTCCGGCCGCACTTACCTTACCAGGGCACGGTCAGAGGCTCCCCCCTCCGAAAAATTCCATTTTTTGCTTGAAGATAGAGTAGGTATTGGGAATACTTAAAAAAGTATTTTCATCGGCAATGGTTCAGTGGGCGTGGCCAAAAACAATTTTAAGTGTTGTATGTATTGCCAATGTACGTATGTATTGCCAAATTTCACTATTAAATACGTAGCTTGACAATAATATAAAAGTTTTATAAAATCTTTCTACTTACCAGCAGCTAAACTGGCGCGCGCGTGGTGCAGCACGCTTACAGAAGAACAATAACAGAGGTGAGAAATGCAATCGAATCAAATCGAATACCGGCGTAATTTCCTGACACTTATTTAATAGTGAACTTTAACGAAAAAAAGTTAAAATAAGAGTTTTCACCAGTACGATTAATAACAGCAATAATGGGAATATCTGTACGTGACCATACTGTCCATACACAAGTGCCGTATGTGTTGCAAATACATTGGCAATACATACGACACTTAAAATTGTTTTTGGCCACGCCCACTGAACCATTGCCGATGAAAATACGTTTTTAAGTATTCAAAACACCAACTCTATCTTCAAGCAAAAAATGAAATTTTTCGGAAGGGGGAGCCTCTGACCGTGCCCTGGTTAGAATTCGCCACTGATCTTGCCGGATGCATGTAATAATTATGTAGTTTATTAAGACCTGTTGTATTGCTAGCAGATTTTTCGAGTAAAAAAATCATCTTTTTTCTCAACTCGATATTTGATGCAGGAATTACTTCTTGTCATTTAACTTTCGCTACAAGAAATTCTGGCTTATTTATACTGCTTTTAATCGAATCTGAGAAAGACACTCGCGTGCTACTCTGTACATGGCATATTCGAACTACATACAGTAACTTCTCACTCCATCGCGATATGCGCTGCTACATAATACTACTCGTAAAATTAATAGTAAATGAATACTGTGATTCCAGAAAGCGTGATTTTTTGCAGCGTGAGATAGAATGCTGTACGAGTGCGTTCCAATTTTAATCCTATCCCTGGCTGGATATTTGGCACACCGCAGCTATTACTCGCCTTACCCTTTTTTACCGGAACCTTTGGAGCATGCTAGAAACGTCTCAACCGACTTTGACCAAAATCTGGAGGCCGCAATCGAGGATGCAAGGTAATGTGCGCACTATTAAAATTTTATAATATTTATTTGCTGTGACGCACGGCTAATATGATTATACGTTATTGAATTAACTGCTAGAGAGCATAACTTAAAGGTAAACGGTCGCTAATAGTGTAGATGGTTGCAGTGCAGTACAGATACACTAATAGTATCACAGCCTGTCGCTTGTCATCAGCTAGTTGCTTTGGTGCTTAGTCAATTTATTTCCTTCTTATAGCGTTTACGAAATTTTAGCCAGTTTCTGCTCATACAGAGCTTTCGCATAATTGGTTCGTTCTTGCAGAAATGCCATACCTCAGCCGGCTCAACGGACCGCTCTTCCGATCGATGCCAACCACACTGCCCAACCAGTATCGGGGATCGGCAGCATTCTGAAGATTCTGATGGATCCGGAGGATTCTGGAGATCGGCAAGATTCCGGGCCAGCTGGTCTCGATACCTGGCTGAAAAATCTCGTGAGGCTCCTTGTGGCAGCATGTATACGGGCTGTATGGGGCTTAGATGCTGATTCTTTATTTAAACTTTCTGTAGTGTGTGCCGTTGCATTCACATTATGCTTACTGTACGACAGCTGCACACTGATTTTTAATTCTGAATGGACTTGGCTCTGTGCGATGTGAATGCAAATGCACAGAGCCGGGGAATTCCTATTCTCTGTCTGGCTGTATATGAGCCGCATTCTTTGTTTTCCCTTATGGATAAAAAAAGATGAAATAAACTGTATAATATAAGAGACTGTATATTATAAGAGACTACTGCGAATATATCTAATAATTTTCATACTGACGAGTGACGTAACATTAACGTTTCTGTGCATTATATATGTGGCGTCATGTTTTACCCGTTAAGGATGTAGAGGTGTTCATTAAATTGTTCCATAAACTTATTTTGCTTTATTTTCGGTTAACACTCGCACTCGTCTATGGTTTAATTACACGGAGTTTTGTTGTGTGCCGCGCAGGCGCAGCCCAAGCGTTTAGCCTGATCTGGTGTAGAACGGTCTGATATTCCCAAAATGTTCTCTACACTGATATTCCAAATATGTTCCAAATATATGATATTCCAAAATGTTCTCTACACTTTGTTCTTCGTTTCTAGTAAGCACGCAAGTAGAAAGTGTCACTTTTTAATCGGTAAACTGAAGCTGAAAGAAGTGAGGACTTCGCAAAAAATATTCGCAGCAAAGCCAAATCTCGCTGCCATACTGGGAGGCTGCCATTTGTTCACCAACCGGAAGCGGTTGAAATTCGTAGTTTTAAAGTTTTCAGATCATTTGTTTTTAGTAAATGTTTGAATAAGTAAGTAAAAAGCAAGCTAATTTTCTGATGAATTCAGGCTAGGTAGGAAGAAGTCAACTGCTTGTGCAACGTTCCATGAATTTCTGAATGATTAAATGTGCCTCGCAGGCACATGGACGAGGGCGAGTGTTAAGTTTCTCATAATTTAAAATTGAACACTTTATTTATGACAGGCAGAATCAAAAAATTGTTCTAGCTGCAGCTTAACAAAATTTATGCGTTTAATTTTGCTCATCATCAATGAAAATTTAATTTTATTTTGTTAAGCAAATATAAAATAAAGACAATTTAATTGTGCCAGAAGAAGTGCACTAAACGCGATTATTATTTGTGAATAGCAAAGGAAACCTTTTAGAATTCACGTTAGAAGTATAAAATTAACCACACCAGTATATCTGCATTGTACGCCAACACGAACGGCGTCGTACAAAATATTCTTGGCTGAACATTTGGCGGCTGGGATTATCATGTAAACTTCGGGTGGAGCTTGCATTTATCCATAATAGATTACATGCATACGAAGTTATGAGCCAAAACGTATGAGGAATTGGACAAGGTGTCCTTAGCCAGTCGACTGTTACGCCCATCACGGTCGTATCTGTCCATTTTCCGCCGCCGCCGCCGCCGGACGGCATGGTAGGCTGACAGAATCATGTGCAGCGCTCACACCGGTCAGCCGGAATCCCTGCAAACTAGTGCAAAGTTGAACTTCCCTCACAAGTGAAGTTCAAGTTCTTCTCTCACAAGTATCGACCGACGGATGCGCAATGTTCGCGTGGCAGAGGGGAATACGTTTGGCTAGGAATGTCACATGTGTCGACACCGTTGCCGCCTCCCATATCAAATCTACATCAGTTACTGCGGGGTAGGCCGTCATTCAGGCAGAAAAAAAGAAGACCAGGTCGTACTCCTACTCATGCGGTCGTTACATTTTCGCACCCATCGCTTTTGAGACAATGGGCCCGTGGGGACCGTCGGCCATCGCCATCATCAAAGAACTGGGAAAGCGTTAACGGACTCATCCAGATGAAGCCCGCTCACAAACTGCTCCCTCATTCAGTTGTGCAGCTGGACATAGCCGCAAATCAGGCTCAAATGCAAAATAAAATTTACTTCTCAGTGCACACGGCTACACGTTATATCCATTGGGAAAGGGCATCGGGATGGTCGGTGCTAGTCGGCAAAGATCTCGCTGTAACGCGTGACTGGCGGCAGCAGCATGACGCGCTGTGATGAGGACTGTAGGCAAGGCCGTACGTGTAAAGAGAAAACCGGCACACATTCAGCGACAAAGTTTTTCAAGAATTTCCAACACTTTGTGCCGTGGTGCAATGGTGCTGCCTTCCGGTTCTTACGACGTAGCCGGGGTTCAGTTCCTAGATTCCCCCATCGGTGCATTTTCGGATGTTTCTCGCCTTCCTTCGGATGGCACCCCGCTTGCTGCCGGGTGGGAGGGTGGGGCACTGCACGGATTCCCCGAAACGCATAGTGACGTCGAGGACCACGACTCGAGGATGTTTTTCATGCGGCAAAAGTTGTAGGCCTGCCCCGGGACGTCCTCCTCGGGCACTGGCACCGGCTGTCTCGCCCGGTAGATGATACCAGGATACGCTCCGCCAGTCTAAACGCTGCAGCTGAACGGGTGCTCCACGCTCTCCGTCACGACATCGGTCGGGGGCCAGTTTGCGATACAAAAAGTCCGGTCGTCCATTCGGTTATTTGGCTTCGCCTCCGCCAGCATATCGGTTCACCACGGGAGGAGAGTAATTCCTCTTGGACATTGCGAAGCGCTTTAAAACCGTGTTGGTTTCGTTTTGCGCAAATGCCTAGTGGATTATTCAAGCCACACCCGGTGCTCGTAATTGTCAAATGCACCATGGATCGTAATTGTCAAATAACGGTCGTTCTATGAAACCGCGGTGTTATGAAGTTGCGAAGTTGGCAACTATTGCACTGGTTGACAGCGAAATAAGTTCTTTATGGCTTTTGGCAAGTTAGGCAAACTCGCGTGGTAGATGATGGGGTTAAACATGCAGCTCAGATACTGCAGACAGGTAGCCGCTATATAAAGATTATCGTTCCAATAATCAGCAAATTCCACTGATAGATAGTAGATCGTCGGCGGAACGAAGCAGACGAGGTCACAAATGGCCAACAGCGCAAACAATCGGTATTTTTTAGCGTCTTCTATCCTTCGCCTGCTGCGTCGTTTATCTGGCATGCCGACGCTAGACAAACTTATTTCCATTGACCCGGATTCCACCGTACTTGCCGGTTGCGTTCCACCTGACCATAATAACAAGGTAATAACAAGGTAATAACAATAATATTATGTATATTATTATATTATATAAAAACACAGTATTTTTGTAGCAGAAATGGTTTTGTTACAAGCTGTTTACGTTTTCCCTTGTTCTCCGGGTTAATTGTGTTGGCTTTGGAAATACGGATAATATACGTATAACTACGGTCTACGGGAGGCAAGAGGAAAAGGAAATTCCGTAACGGCCATGGGTTTATTCATTTGGGCGCGATGTTGTGCACCGGATCTTCTACGTTCTCTCATTCATGGCAAACAAACAGTGAACACAAAACAGCAGTACCACAAACTGTACAAGTTTACGCGATACAAGAACAAATCATATTCTTTCACATGCCCAAGCAACCCAAAAGGGAGCACCACCAGCAACTTTAATCATAAGAGCGAAAAAAAAATACCATTTATCTTCACATTCAGTTCTTTTCACGAATTTAATTTAATTTTCTTGCACTTGCTGGAACTGACCATAAAGAATTGCATTCAATCATTTCATCAATTACATTCAATTATTTTCAAATTCTGAAACTTTGTTGGAGATGATCACAATTTACAAATAGGTACATTCCGCCATTTTTTGGAAATTAACCTTTCCTTTCAACATTCGTTGGAACTGACCATGATCAACAACCGCTGCACCACCATTATCAAAATACCTTTACATCGAACAATTTTCACAACTTTAGCCTTTAATTATTGCGTCTTGGCTGGAACTGACCATTACATTAATGACCTTACATTTAACCATCATACTCAACCGTTTTCACTAACCATTCAATAATCAATTTCAATTACCATTTCATTTCCATTCAACCCTTCAACAATCAAAACATTTAATTTTACAAACTTTACCATCACTTAATAAATTGTGACACAATTTAACATTTTAACCAACAGCGCCATTCATGCCGAAATTCATTTGTTACTGATTAGCACAACCAATTCAAATATCACGCTGAACAACAACAATTAAAAGGTAGCAGTATCAGGCGCCGTTGCGCCCGCCCCGTTTGCTGTTTTTCTGGTTACGCTGACACTCGTGCCAGTTGTGACCTTTCTCGTAACAGGAGCCGCACACGTGAGAGTACCAACATTCTACTTCTTCACGCTGGCACTGCCCTTCATTATACGCCCAACAGCTGAGCTTTTTCGGCCCGTCGCCAGCATAATTATTTCCCCGACCATTGTACGATCCACGACCGTACCCGCGAGAGCGACCATCATGACCACCACGAAAACCTTCGCTCACAGCGTGGGCGTCGACTGGCAACAGTGAACCAGCGTGAAAACACTGATGAATTAAACTTCCACACGCATTAAAATCATTCAGTGAGCAACCAAACCGCTCGGCATATTGCCGGAAACCAGCATCAAATTTCAAGATCGCTTTTGGGTCATAACCGGGAGCCTTACTGGATAAGAACTCAACGTACTCGGCATATTCGCACAACGTTTCTGCGTGACTCGGCATTCTACTCAACTGCTTAATCAACATAAGCGACCCATTCATAAATTCTGCGTATGTTAACTCTAAGGCGCCAACTGGTTTCTTCTTCTCTGCTTGCGCACGGGAATACACCACCTCGTGTGGTCGTGGCAAATTTCTTGCCAACTTCGGTAACGAGTCACCTTTCAAATTAAAAACTTCTCTTAGGCCGAACTCACCACTGCGGAAATTCTCGATCAGTGGAATAGGACTGGGGCTGCCACGTGGAAGGTCAACCGGATCCGGCATGACCCTTCGGTCGAATTCTGACGCGGATGCGGGCTTGCTGACCTTCTTGCACGGTGCAGGTGGAACAATAATCACTGACTCTTCACTTCGGCTATCCATGATGTAGGTCCAAATATCTTTGCGGTCGCACAGCGGGATGGCATTCAGCGGAGTCGTCCAAAGGTCATCTTTGGACAGGAAAAGGACTTTCTCAATGGTAACGAAACGCTCCTTCTTCAAAATGGCAACAGTGTTTTCACACAATCCCAATGATTTAGCCAAATCATCAACCGTATTACCCGACACATTCAGCTGTGAATTACTCTTACCACCGTGGCCAGCACATTCAGGCTGGTGATCAAGCATACGCTTAACGAGTTCGGCTTTGTTGCCGGTAACCGTGAGCTCGTGCTCTCTTAGCATGACCTTTAATTCTTCACATGTCATAA